TTTTGTAAAAGGAACTGCCAAAGTCTTTTCCAGAGTGAATGTACCACTTTACATGCCCACTAGCAATAGCAGTGTATGTGGTCCATTTTCTCCGCATCCACACTAGCAGTTGGTGCTGCCACTATATTTTATTTTAGCCTTTTTATGTGCTATGATGTCACTGTGGTTTTAATTTGCATTTTTCTAATAGCTGGTGACTTTGAACATCTTTTTATGTGCTTGTCGTTTGTATATCCTTTTTAGTGAACTGTCTCTTTTTATCTTTTGCCCATTTTCTTTTTTTTTTTCCTCCCCTCAGCCCCTTTTGCCCATTTTCTAATTGGATTTTATTGAGTTTTGAGAATTCTTTATATATACTAGACATGAGGCCTTAATTGAATATGTGGTTTGCAAATGTTTTCTCCCAGTCCAAAACTTGTCTTTTTATCCTCTTCATAGGGTCATTCACAGAACAAGTGTTCCATTTTGATGAAATAAAATTGATCAATTTTCCCATTGCTGAATTGAGCTTTTGGTGCCAAGTCTAAGAACTTCTTGCTTATTTCTAGATCCCAAAGATTTTGGTTTTATAGTTTTATATTTTAAGTATGTAGTCCATTTTTAGTTCATCTTTGTACAAGGTGTAAGACTCGGGTCAACATTCATTTTTATGTGTGTCCAGTTTCTCCATCATCATTTGGAGAAAAAACTAACTTTCCTCCATTGAACTGCTTTTGCATCTTTGTCAAAAATCAGTTGTGTGTATTTATGTGGATCAGTTTCTGGGTTCTCTTTTGTTTCATTGGTCTGTGTGTCTATCCCTCTATCAATAACACACAGTCTTGACTACTGTAGCTAAAATATCTTAAAACCAGGTAAACTGATTCTTCCCACTTTATTCTTCAACATTGTTGTAACTATTTGAGGTTCTTTTTACACATAAAATTTAGAATAATCTTGTTTGTATACAAAAATATCTTGTTGAGATTTTGGTGGAAATTGCATTAAGCCTGTCAACGTTAATAAAATTAAAATCGACATCTTTACCATGTTGAGTGTTTCAATCCATAGACATGGTATGTTTTTCCACTTATTTAGATCTTTATCAGCATTGTGTAGTTCTCAGCATGTAAGTCCTATACATGTTTTGTTAGACTTACACCTATTTCTTTTCTTTTTTTTTTTTTTTTTTTTTTTTTTGAGACGGAGTTTCGCTCGTTACCCAGGCTGGAGGGCAATGGCGCGATCTCAGCTCACCGCAACCTCCGCCTCCTGGGTTCAGGCAATTCTCTTGCCTCAGCCTCCTGAGTAGCTGGGATTACAGGCACGCGCCACCATGCCCAGCTCATTTTTTGTATTTTTAGTAGAGACGGGGTTTCACCATGTTGACCAGGACAGTCTCCATCTCTTCACCTCGTGATCAACCCGCCTCAGCCTCCCAAAGTGCTGGGATTACAGGCATGAGCCACCGCGCCCGGCCCCTATTTCCTTTTTAAGTGATTGTAATTGGTATTATATTTCTAATTTGTGTTCACACATTCATTGCTAATAAAATTTTTGTCTGTAGAGCTTCTATCTTGTGTCCTTGCTGGACTCATTCATTAGTTACTTGTGTAAAAATACATTCCTTGGGATTTTCTACATTGATAATCACATCACCTGCAAATAGGAACCATTGTTTCTTCCTTTCCAGTCTGTATATCCTTTTCATGCCTTATTACATTGGCTAGAACTTTCAGCATTATTTTGAAAGGAGTGGTAAAATCAGACATCCTTGACTTATTTATTCTCAATCTTAGGCAGAAAGCATTCAGTTTTTCACCATTAAGCATAAAATATTAGGTGTAGGTGTTTGATAGATGCTGTTTCTCAAGTCGAGGAAGTCTCCTCTATTCCTATTTTTCTGAGTTTTTATCAGGAATAGTTGTTGGATTTTGTCACGTGCTTTACCTGCATCAATTGATATGACAACATTTTTCTCCTTTAGTATGACAGTGCGGTAGGTTAGACTGATTGATTTTCAAACATGAAGAAGTCTGGGATTCCTAGAATAATCCTGACTTGCTCAAGTTTTTTTTTTAATAGGTTGCTGAATTCCATTTGCTAATGTTAAGGATTTTTGTGTGAATATTCACAAGGGACATTGATCTTGAGTTTTGTATTACAGTAATGCTAGTATCATAAAACAATGTGGGAAATGTTTACTTCTCTTCTGTTTTCTGGAAGACTACAGAATCAGTGTTAAGAATTCTCCAGTAAAACTAAGCCTGATATTTGTTTTTTGAGATTTTAAAATTATGAAACTAATCTCTTTAATAACTACAGACATACTCAAATGATCTATTTCATATTGGATGAGTTATGGTAGGTTTTCACGAAATAGGTCTGTTTCAACTAGTTTGTCAATTCATGTGTGTAGAGTTGTTTGTATCATTCTTGTTACCCTTTTGATGTCTGCAGAGTCTGGTGATCTTCTGTTCCATTCCTCATATTGGATTTGTCTTCTTCTTTGTGGGTCTTACTAAAGGTTTTTCCAATTTTAATCTTTCCAAATAACCAGCTATTTCATTGGTTTTCTCTACTGTTTTTGGTTCAATTTTATTGATTAACCAGCTATTTCATTGGTTTTTTTTCTACCGTTTTTGCTTCAATTTTATTCATTTCTGCTCCTATCTTAATTTCTGTCTTTTGGCCTGCTTTCTTTTTATTTTGCCCCCCTTTTTCTAGGTGCTTGAAGTGGGAGCTTAGAGTATTGAGACATCCCCCTTTCTTTCCTAAGGTTTGCATTTAGTGCTGCAAAGATCTCTTTCGGCACTGCTTTAGCCATATTCCACAAACATTGGTGTTTTATTTTTATTTTCATTCAGTTCATGATTTGGTCAATTTCCCTTGGAAATTCTTCTTTGACCCATAGATTACTTTTAAGTATACTCTTTGGAGATTTTCCTGTTTTCTGTTGATGATTCCTAGTTTGATTATACACTTCTTTTACACTTTGTGAGTTTTGTTTTACGGCCCGTGATATGACTTATCTTCATTTATGTCATGTTCGCATTTGAAAGGTATATGAATGTTGCCGAATGTTGGATGGCTTATACTATAAATTAGATTTTACTGGCCGATAGTATTAAGTTCTTCCATAGTCTTGATTTTATGTTTAATTCTATTGATTGCTGAAAGAGAAGTACTGTAGTACTCAAATACAGTTGTAGATTTATCTATTTTTTTTTCTTCACATATTTTGCTGCTCTGTTGTTTGGCGCATACACATTTAGGATTCTTATATTCTTCCTCATGGACTGACCCTTTCATCATTATATGTCCCTCTTTGGTATTTTCTTTGCTCTGAAATCTATTTTGATATTAGTATAGCCCATTACAGTTTTCTTTTAATGTTTATCTGATATGTATCTTTCTATACTTCTTTCAGCTTGCCTTTATTATTAAGTGAAGTGAGTTTCTTGTAGACAGTATACAGTTGGGTCACATTTCTTGATCCATTCTGCCAGCATTTCTTTTAATTAGCATAGATTGTTTAATATAATTATTGATATGTTAGCAGGTGAGTCTCCCACTTTCCTTTTACCTTTGTTCTGTTTTCTGTGTTCTTTTTCATGCCTTATCCTGAGTTTTTGAGAATTCTCAACATTTTTGAAAATTTCATTTTATCTGTAATGATTTTGTGTATATATCTTTGTATACTTTTTTCAGTACTTGGACTAGAAATTTCATTATATATTCATAAGATCACAGTCTACTATTGTCATTTTACGAGTTTGAATGAATTGTAGAAAATCGATATTCCTATAGGTTCCTTTACTCTTCCCTGTTTATAATTATTTTAAATATTTCCTCTATATACATTTTGAACCACCTCAGGCAGTGTTGTAATTTTTGTTTCAACTATCAAATGTAATTCAGAAAACTCAAGATGAGAAGGAAATCCTACTTACCCACATTTTTGCTTATCATTGTTTTTTGGGCTTTTGTTTTGATTTCTCCTTCCTAATGGTCCCACTTTCCTTCTATCATTATTTCCTTTCTGCCTAGGGAACTTCCTTTACTGCCATTCAATTAAGGTAGGTCTGCTGGCAATGGATTCTCTGCTCTCCCTGAATCCTTCCTATGCATCTGTTTGAGACCTAGTGGTAGCCCAACAAAACTATCAAAGTATAGATGTGGATGCTACTCCAAAAGTAGGGCCAGACATTATTCTTTTAGAACGCAAAGGGCTGAGGAGAAAGGGCATTACAATTTATCAGTGAGATAACAAGGGTGGGAAAGGTTTGAAGAAATGATGGAGATGTCCTAAGTTTTGAGATTGCCATTTATGGAAGAGTTGTGATGCAGGAGGAGATAGAATTAAGCACAAAGAATTAAGGGTCAAGAGCAGAAGGCAGACAGGGACACACAACTGCCCTTTCTCCTGAAGCGTTCCACAAAGGTATGTTTTTCCTTTTTCTCAACTGAATGCTTATCTACTATCCTCTTCAAGTTCTAGCCTAAAATATTATAAATTTCAGGTTAGCAAACAGGTGAGAAGAAATCTTTCACTCTGATAAACTCTCTAAAACTCATGTCAGCAAACTTAGAAAGAAAATGTTGATGTGGTCATGCTATTTACAAGCCATGGCCATAGAAGCACCTTACATGACCACCACTCCCCTCCCGTTGACCCCCATTTCATAGAGAAGGCAGATGGGAGAGAAATAGCTTTTCTTATCCCTTAGATGAGCAATGAAAGGGTCTCCACTTTCTAATTTGTCCCTCTCCTTTAAGCAACCTGGTTTTTATAATCCCCTAGAACCCATCTCTCTGATCACTCCACCTTCTCCTTTTAGATGAGAAAAGAACAGGGACCGTTCAGCGTCATATTTTAAATGTCACATTTCCCATTTCAGTGGCCAAAAAGCAATAAAGGAAAATGTTGACCTAAAGCTTGAAAATTTTCTAAGTGATTAGAATCTCTTTCCAGATCCAAGACATCCACAAGCTTAAGAAAAAGAATGAGCACATAATGATTTAGTTGGCTTTCTCTTTTAATCAAAAACATACTTTGTTACAGAGTTCTCAAGAAAGGTTCAACTATTTTTTAGCCACAGACTTTAACCAAGCAAAAGTATACAGAAAGCCACAAAGGAACTCCTGGGACTTTCAACTGACCAGTTGTCCCTAAAGCAGAAGCTAAGAATGGCTCTTCTCTGGTTTCTGGCATAGCTGCATTCCTCTGAATTTAGGGGAAGAAACAGTTGGGGACTACCACCACCAAATCTGTCCCCAACCCCCCATTCACTTCTTCTAACTGGGCTCTGCAGCCCACCAGGTTTTCATTGTCTATAAGCATTCACACTTGTCCCTTAAGTCACATGTCCAATACATTGAACAGAACCCAATACTTGAAGAAAGTCTGCCAACTCCATGTTTAGTCTTAATCAATCCAAAGCCCATGAGTCCTTCTATCAATGACAAGCAGCCTTTGCAAGAGCAGCTGGTTTCATCCCTTCTTCTCCAGCTACCAAAAAGCTGGCCTCTACCAGGACTCCCCAACCCCCCACCCTCAACCCAGCCCCAAGGAAGGCCCTCAGGTCCTTGACACTATTGAGTTCATTAATTATACTCATCCAAGGGTAGGCTAGAAAAGAGCTCGGAATGATCCAGCCAAAAGTCACTTAATTAAAATGGACCTAAAAAGAGCCAAGAATAAAGTAAATAATCATCTACTGGTATTGTTTCTTGAGTCATATAAACCAGTTTATTGATGCAGTTCAGGGGAATTTCCTTGTTTTGAGCATAATATCACTAGGCATTAACAATAGGTTTTCAATCCATTTTCACTAAAAAAAAAAAAAAAAATTACCAGCACACCACTTAAGAGGGTGGGGTCACACACATACAAACTCAAAAGCCAGAATGTCATGACTCAAAGAAAGTCTTAAGAAACTCTGACCAGAGATAACAGAAAAATGAAGGCTTTTCCCTCTCAGGGGTGTGTGTGTGTGTGTGTAAAGTGTTTATTGCAGCCCCTAAGGTGGTGCTAGGCCTTTGGTTAAAATTAAGCCTTAAGGACATACTATGTAACTTTTTGTCCATAAAAGAAGAGTAATAAAATACCAAGCCTAGACTCCTTTGAATAACATGGAAATAAGTAAAAAGCCCCCTCAAACAGCAGAGCAAAGATAAGGAAGAAATCCAAAACTGCTGCGAGGTAGCCAAGGTCACTTAGAATTTCAGAGCTGGAATAATTAATCTACTCCAACTCCCTCATTTTACAGATGAGGCAACTAAGGCCCAGAGAAGATAAATGACTTGCCCAAGATCACACATCAAATTCATGGCAGAGGGCAACTAGAGAGAGCAACTGTCTGGCCCAACCCAGAGTCACTACTTTCAGGTTGAACAAGAACACTGGCTCTGGACCTATTGAGAAAGCATTTAAATAAACGGTGTGAAAAGTATCCACAGAAACAGAGAGAAACGATTGTCTTCACCAAAGGTTTTCCTTAGTCCATACTACATTTAAAAAAAAAGGAAAACAAAGCTTCATTCATTCATTTATTCACTCAAGTCTGATGTTAAAATCCCTGAAAACACCAGCAATTATTTTAGCTACTCCTTGGGGCAGGATATCAGACCCTCAATTCTCATAAAGGCACCTACAAGTCAAAAATACCTGTACAGGACTAAGGCCAGAAGGCAGGGCTTAAAAGGAGACACCAAAACAAAACAAATGGCCTCCATTTCCCAAGGTTTGTTTTGTTGTGTGTTGTTTGCTGGTGTCCTCTAGGCAATGGTATTTTAGTAATTTACTAAATGCTAATTTAGTAACCCTTATAACCCCAGTTTTTGTAGCATTCAAGTGGAAGCAATAAAACCTTGAAAATATTCTAAGGGGGAAAATATGAATATGACTCACTTCTCTCTTTCAACTACCTGAAACTCAGCAAGAATCAGAAAGCACTCTAAGCAGTCAAACTGACATCAAATGCCAATGCAGTGAGGTCCTTTTCAACTCTTCACAGCAAAGTATCTTGGGTCCGGTCCCAGAATTTGTACTTGTGTTTTAAAGAAAGTTCTAGTAAGTTTGGTTATCTGGCTTCCTTGCCTAAGCAGTCAGAAATGAAGAATCAGAAAGAGAAGAGGAAAATGCTAAAAGGAGATACACTAATACCCACATATGAATGGTAGCTATCAGAGAGAGAAAAAAACCAAGAGAGAAGAAGCGGGTTAAAAAAAAACTGAAAATTCAAAACCATAGTTGTCTGAGACCATTTATAGTAAAGACAACACAGTCCACAAAGATAGCTAAGCACAAAAAGAAATGTTACATCTAGTATACCCTCTGATATAAGTATTAAATAACTCCACAGGAAAAAGAGGCTAAAAATTAAAACATTTTACTGCTTAAATAAGGCAATTTTGAATTATGTGGAAAATTTCATTCCACAGTGATACCAGATAAACAAGATAAACAACTTAGCAGCACTGCGACAACTGCTAGAGATGAGGCTGGGCCTAGGATGCTTTTGGGATGAATAAGGCCATGGACCTTTTTTTACATACTTCTTGGTATATTCAGAGAAATTACTTAGTTATCAGGGGAAAAAAAATAGAAAGGGTTGCACAAGATTCTCATAGCCTATTCTCTATAATCTTTGCAAAAGAGGATTAGGAGATTATTTAGATAGCTGTCTGCTACAAGATGGATTCTGCCTTTACAGAAAAACAACAACAAAAAACACATTTCTTCAAGCTGAGTGCACCCCACCTAAAAAAAAGTTGTTAATTGGCTTTATAGGTAATTGCTTTCATATACTCATTTACCTCAGTAACCTAAATGTATCATTTTCCTAATCTGCTATCATTAAATAAAATGCCAATAAAATTGGCAATAATGAAGGGAGCAAACTATAGAAATTATCAACAAAAAGAACTCTGTCCCACTCAGACAATAAAACTGCTTCTCCCAAAAGGTTCTCAGAAAGGGTGTAAACTAATGTGACTCTGCATAAAATAGTGAGTATTAACCAATTACCATCAAACCTGGCATAGAAACATTTCTTTACCATTTTATACTTTAACCTCCATAGACACTTAAGGAGCATTATGGTAAAATGTAAAACTTTCCTTCCCCAGATGACCACAACTCACCTTCCTACAATTAGTAATAAACTTTGAAAATAAGAAGATATGTATCATCTGAGAAACAGGACATTTTATTTTGCCTTCAAAACTTGTATTACAAACATCCCCTTTACATACTGCACCCTGCCCCATAAAAATGGATTTTAAGTCTGAAATGTAGCACAGCTAATATGTGTTCACTTTACTTGGATGTCTCCAGCATGGCTCTCATTAAGCCAGACGATGCAACCTGTAAACCTGCACTGTTAACAGAAGGAATGGGAACAGGCAACCTATTTAGTGGTTACAGCAATACAAATGAGCCATGTCTCTGTAAAAGCAAGGTTACATGGCAGTGATTTATTGTCATTATCTTTGTATGCCAGGGGCAGTAAACTATTAAAAATGAGATAGACTATATCCCACAAAAGGATCTACTCCCTGGAAAAGAAAGGCAACACCATGAAGGATTCCCTTTGATAATGCACTGAAAGGCACTGGACAAACATGGAATGAGGTCTCACGCTGGGTGTACATGGCTCATCTCTCATTCAGCTTGCACTGAAATTAATTATTTTGAGTCTTTAAGATATGAATTAGCTAGAGAAAACCCACCCAGAACCATATCCTCATAAATTACCCTAAAAGTAGACAAAAATTTTAAACCTGTGAGAATCTTTAGTCTTATTCATCAAAGATGACTACTGCTAAGAAATAGAAATATATATTAACAACCAAGCTCTCCAGAATAGCTGATCATAACATACTAGATGTTTTCTCAAAAGCATGACTAAATCTAGGTACAAATATAAGCACTTAACAACTAGAAGTATTTCTATACTTTATGGCTCTTAGTAGAAAGAAACCAAGACAGGTGGCTTGGCTCCAAAGAGATACTTCTTAACAAATATTTTCCACATACTTTCCCTAGATGATTAAACATGAAAACTCCTTAAAGTAGAAAAGGAAGCAATGAGGCCAGGCACGGTGGCTCAAGCCTGTAATCCCAGCACTTTGGGAGGCCGAGGCAGATGGATCACTTGAGGTCAGGAGTTCGAGACCAGCCTGGCCAAATGGCAAAACCCCATCTCTACTAAAAATATAAAAATTAGCCAGGCGTGGTGGCGGGCACCTGTAATCTCAGCTACCTGGGAGGCTGAGGCAGGAGAATCAGTTGAACCTGGGAGGCAGAGGTTGCAGTGAGCTGAGATTGCGCTACTGCACTCCCAGTTGGGCAACACAGAGAGACTCTGTCAAAAAAAAAAAGGAAGCAATGAATTATATCAATGTATGATTAAAGTTTTAATCAAATCATCTGGATTTTTAAAAATCTGTTATTCTAAAACTCACTCCTATTCCTCATTCACAGTAAAATGGATCTAAAGTTAGCAATTTCTAGAGAAGATGTCTTTTTAAAAAACTGCCAATAAAACTTAAATCATTACACTTCTACAGAAGAAAATTAGGCCTTTACTGAAAGAATTTGTAAGTACTCAAGAATACAAATGAGTTGGTAGATAACTTATTTAAAAACAAAAGGCATGTAGCTTGGATCAACATCTATGTTTAAATCACAGAAATAAGCAAACTCAGTGTTTTTCCAGGATGGTCTATTTAAAAGACCTTCTTAGCAAGGTGGTAAATGGTGTGTTCATTCCAGGTGATATCAGGAGGACTACCACACAAGTGGTAAATAGCTAAAAGTCCTCCAAGCAAAAGTAAAAGCATCTGAAAGATAATCCTTGATTTTATTTCACACTACTCTGTAGAGAATCTATTTATCATCTTGTAGACAATCAGGCTTATTTCTGCTACAGTAAAATAAAAATTCAAAAAAATAACCAACTCCACACATGATACACAATGTCCTTGGGGAAGTCCTGGTAGAGTGTGAGGGAAAAAACAAAGCTGCCCAAGAGAACTGGCTGTTGCCTGTCATTTAGTAGAAGGTACCTCACCACTGAGATTGGACTCAAAAGTGCAAAAGACAAAAAATCTTAAAAATCAAACCTAGAATTCAACTTTGTATGTTGAGATTCGGTTTTATTTATGCTACCAGCTAGGTAAAAAGCATACATATTGTGTCTGTGGTACAGTCAATACATCTGCAACTTTTCTACTTAAATTCTCTATACAAAGTCACTGCCAACTGATATGATCATTGATGGCAAGGGCTTAGAATAACCAAAAGATATAAAAAAGTTTGCAGTCTTGCCCCAAGATACAAAAACTGAATTTTAAACAATATCATAACATACATGATTTAAACATTATACGAAAAAAAGTCACATCAAATCAAGTACAAAAATATCCAAACTACCTATTATGAACTGTAATGTTTCCATTATTCTGCACAGTACTTAACATAGAATTTAGCAGTTTCCAAAATACTCATTATTTAGTTTAAGCACTGCCACCTTTGCAGAACAGTGAGACATTAGGTAGTGACACTGCTTTTAGTGTTTTAAAAAATACAAAACCTTTCCCTGTGAATTAAGGAAAAGAAATTCCTCTTCAAGGCTTTTTAGCAACCAATCTTTTGCCTAGAAATACAGAAGAATACATCTACTGTTTAAGAGGGGAAACGTGGCCGGGCGCGGTGGCTCAAGCCTGTAATCCCAGCACTTTGGGAGGCCGAGGCGGGTGGATCACAAGGTCAAGAGATTGAGACCATCCTGGTCAACATGGTGAAACCCTGTCTCTACTAAAAAATATACAAAAAATTAGCTGGGCATGGTGGCGCGTGCCTATAATCCCAGCTACTCAGGAGGCTGAGGCAGGAGAATTGCCTGAACCCAGGAGGTGGAGGTTGCGGTGAGCCGAGATCGCGCCATTGCACTCCAGCCTGGGTAACAAGCGCGAAACTCCGTCTCAAAAAAAAAAAAAAAAAAAAAAAAAGAGGGGAAACGTATACTTCTTGATAAACAGTCATCCATTAGGAATAACAAATGTAATTTTAAATGACTTTTTTTGTCTGCTAATTTTAAGGGATTCTCAATATACATACAGATTAGTGTTTTTTGCCTTGGCAAAAATAAAACTGAAGTTGCAAGACAATCTGAAATGAAATCATCTTCACTAATAAAACTTGCAAAAAATATTTTGGATGAAAGGTTACAATACATTATTATTTTACTTTTTAAAAACAGTAAAGTTACTCTTGGTAAAATTAACTCACCCACATGGCACATTATTTTTGAAGTAAGTATGTTCAACAATAACAACTTGTACACAAAATAACACAGGTGAATTAACTTTGAGAACTTCTCTGCCTTTAAAATCAGCAATACTGGATTTATTTTGTAGAATGATATACATATTGATGTTCTGCAGATAAAAGGCTCTAAGACATTTTAAAGGGCTAAATTTTCTAGCACTGGAATGATTTCTTCATACATAATGGGTGAAGAATTAATAAGAATGTGTTTCTCTTAATCCTCAAGCTCTGAGCCATGCCTGAAAAGTTCTAAATAGGAAAAAAAAAATGTTTTAATCCAGTTTCTGTCTGTTAGGAGCAAGGCAGCAAACATATTTTCAACCCTTTATGAAAAGATAAAGCAGAACAAAAGTGAAATATATCTTCAGATTATAAACAGGATTGTATTTTATAGTCCACCATCCTGATAAGGTTAAGGGCCCCAAGACCTCAGTCTAAAGGTTGTGGGTCTGCAATCGGCATGGTGTGAAGTACTTCATCTAGGAGCTGGAGGGCACGGTGTAAGTGAATCTCAATCCAGCAAGGCGTTTCTTTGATGCTCTGTCTTGGGTAATCCGGTCCCCAGCCTTTCACAAAACTCATCCTGAGTATGCATAAACGACGAAGGTCATCAACACCGATTCCGGCAGCAGCTGACAGACCTAACAGAAAAGATTTGGAAGACATCAGAGGGACAGGGTGATCTCTTCCCATCCTCCCTACATTCTAAATTAATAAAGAGACCAGCTTTCAGTATTTCATTCTCCTCAGCATATAACTTCTCTGCTAAAGTGCCAAGAAGTAACTGTAGATCTAAACTTTATCAAGAAGCTGAAAACTTTTGGTTAAGGAACTTTACATTCCACATGTAAAGTAGTCTTCTAGCTACAACCAATTATAAAGTAAATTACCACAATCCACCAACACCTCACCTATTTTTCTCTTTAGAAGTGGAGGTGAAGGGATAAGAAACAACTTGTTTTTAAGAGATAGTGTGTGTCCACATGTTGGTTCTAAAAGCCTTACTGTCTAAACAGCCTAGTTCAGAATAAGACATAACTAACAAAGGGGCAGTTAATATTCCTAGTTCCATAAGACCTCTTAGATGACCCAGATGAAGTCTCTCTCTCAATTTCAAAGTGTAACAGAGTAATACACTATTACTCAGTGGTGGCAACTGATAAGAATATGAAATTTAATAATAGTTCTGGATTCTTCAGTAAAAGCATGTTTATAACACTGAAACTAGCAAATTAATGGTTTAGATCCCCAAATTTTAAAAAATCAAATTCTCTCAATGAATATGCCTAATCTACTTCTAAATTGTAAACTCCTGAACATAAGTCACAATAGAGATTGCATCTAATTTTTCAGTCAGAACATACAGTCATATAGTCCATCTGCATTCATCAATATTACAATGAAACTAATGGGAGGAATTTGCATGTACTGTAGAGAAACCTGCAGGGCCACTGCAGTTTTCTTAGCCAGTGTGATTTGCTTACCACACTGAAGAGGTTAAGAACAGGGGTTGAATGAATCACTAGTTATGCCTTCAGACGTGGAAGATGGGTGCCACGTGTTTCCATCATAAAAGTCTATAGTCAGGAGTTTAACTCTGCAGTAAAAAATTCCCCATCAGTGTGAAACCTGGCACACAGTTCAATTTTACCCTAAAATTAAAAAAAAGTCTACAAGTTATCAAAATACCACTCTTACTTAGTTTTCTCTCCATGTTTAGCACACTTTAAAAAAAAAAAACTGGAGAGGTGTCCAATTCTGAAATTGAAATATCCTTTCCTTACTAGAATAAAGCCAAGCACTTCAGTAATTACAACCCACCCTGGCTGGTGAGGCAGGAATTATAATAGGCATCAGCAGAAAAAGAGGAGATGGAATAGTATAATGTAATAATCATCCCCTTTCTTCTTTATCCCATACTCCATTTTTGATACAAAAAGAATGTAAACAGGTTCACAGGCAAAAAGCAACTATTACAGAACAGATTTTACCAACTCAAAAATGTAATCATCCCAGTAAAAAGAAATTTAATTTCTATTGTTGCTCAAAGAAACTAGTCAACTGAGTAAATCAAGATAAACATATCAACTATTTTATCTTTCTAAAAAAAAATCAAAAGCATACTTACTGATAGCTGGAGCTATTCCACCTACTGATCCCGGGCCAGGGATGTTTCCTGCCACAGCTGCTGCCTGGGCGGCTGCTGCAGCTTGTGCAGTGGCCGCCTGCTGCTGCATCTGTCGATGACACTGACGCAAATCAAAGACCTTTTAAGAAAAAAATTTCATATTATGAGTCCATAAAGAAAAATTTCATACATCAAAAACCAATGCTTGACTTATTTAAAACTCAGTTTCATTTTACTTCTCACACAAAAAGAATTAATTAAAACATGTAGATTTTTATGTACATTGTGACTGGTATAAAACTAGTTAGGAAAGGTGGCTTGGAGCTCACCAAGATCATGTTAACATCACGATGGCTTTGGCTGCCACATGCCTCTGGTATCTTTTAGTTCAATGTGGGTCAGCTGTTACTGTCCTTGTGAAAATCTGTGTAAAATGAACAATTAAGAAGTCCCCTTTCCCCTTTCATAACCACATTGCTGAGTTTTCCTTAGGCTGGAGTTGATAGCTTTGGTCACCTGGCCAACTTCTTGTGTTATCATTCTTGCTTATTTGGAGTTTAACAAATGGCATTGTTGCTACATGAGAGGCATCAATATTTTTCAGAGATGCACACTTCAGCAAATAGAAGCAAAATAATATCCAGGACTTGTTTTAAAAAAGAAACAAAAAAAAATAGACTAGATCAAGCAAATATAAAATCATAACTACTTAATCTGTGTGATAGGTACATGGGATTTCATTACTTTCTCTCTACATTTCTTTATGTTTGAAAATGTTCATAATTTTTAAAGGAAAAAAAAGCCTAGTTTTAAATCCCAACAGTGATATCTGCTAATTATATGGGTTGAGTTTCTTTTATCTATAAAATGGGAATGCTAACTGTACATACTTTCATGAGGTTGCTGCAAACTTGGTATAGTATAGAGTTACTTATTTTGTTTGTGGCCTCCCCTGTAGTCCCCAGGATGAGTTAAAGAGTTAATAAATAATTTCAGTTTTATAAACCAAGTGGAAAACTGGCATAGTAAGGAAGGGGTAGCGATATCTACCCTTATGCTCATGAAAGTACTGGAATGTTCTTTTAATAAGCAACAAATTACAGATAATAAATCACATCACCTTTTTTTCCTGGGGGAAAAATCTTCCTAAAATATTTGCTTATTTGCATTTTTAAAAAGCACTGGAATATTACATAAAAATAATTTCTAAGAAAGGAAGACAAAGGGTAGAAGCAAGGCTGCTCAATTTTAAAACAGGCTGCTGTTTTAAAGTCACTTTAATTTCTGAACCATGTAGCTATATTCCCTACTCTAAAGGGACATGGATATTTTTTAAAGTCCAATTAGGTACATAAAGGACCCAATATGAGCAAGCATAATTATTCTTGAAAATAAGCGAAATCGGAGAATATAGAATTAGTTGATGATAGACAACAGTTTTAAAACTTAAACCATAAATTTTCAGATGCTTGAAAAAATTCTGATCATCTTCAACCATGGTATTTACATGAGCCACAAAAACATACAATAATATATTCTCTCCAAACAGCAAATCACACTCCTACTTATTCCTATTTCTCTACTCAGTGTCCATATCCTCAAAAAACCTTTCGCAATTCGCACCAGTGAAGGACAACACTTACAGATTTCAATTTGTCAAATAAACATGTATGTATTTCCTGGACTATTCGGTCCTAAAATACTTTAGTAAAGAAAGCATGACGGGGCATGGTGACAGATGCCTGTAATCCCAGCACTTTGGGAGGCCCAGGCGGGAGGATCACTTGAGTCCAGGAGTTCAAAACCAGTTGCAACCCCATCTCCACAAAAAAATTTTTAAATTTAAATGAAAGAAAGCATGACAAAGTCAGGTTCTAGAAATCAAAAAGCCCACAATACCCAAAACTGAAACCACTACTTTCTCAAATTTCTCAACAGTCCATTTATTTCAAAACTTCTGAGCTACAACATTTGGAAGGCATTACCCAGCACAGAACAAAGCGAAGACTCAAAACATTTGAAATGGTGAACAGCTCTACAACCACTTTTTTTTAAAGAAGGAAATTAATGAACTTCATTTCTTAGAGCAGTTTTCGGTTCACAGCACATTAAGCAGAAAGTACAGAGTCCCTGTCCCCACACACAACCTTCCTCGACTATCAACATCCTCACTACCATGGCACACTTGTTACAATCAATGAATGTACACTGACATATCACTATCACCCAAAATCCAGTTTACATAAAGGTTCACTCTCAGTGTTATACATTCTATGGCTTTGTACACATTTATGACGCTGAACATCTTTTCATATGCTTGTCTGCCATCCGTATATCTTCTGTGAAGTGTCTGTTTACATATTTTGCCCATTTGTTTATTGTTTTTTGTTAATATGGGGTCTTGCTGTGTTGCCCAAGCTGGTCTTGAACACCTGGGCTGAAGGGTCCTCCCAGATCAGCCTACCAACTAGGTGGAACTACAGGCACATGCCACCATGTCTGGCTTTTTTTTTGGGGGGGGTAAAGATGAGGTCTTGCTCTGTTGCCCAGGCTGGTCTTGAACTCCTGGGCTCAAGCAATCCTCTGGCCTTGACCTCCCAGAGTGCTGGGATTATAGGAGTTAATCACTATGCCCAGTCTATTTTGCCCATTTTTTAACTGTGCTGTTCATTTTATTGTTGAGTTTTAGGAGTTATTTGTAATTTTGGATATCAATCCTTCATTAGTTGTGTCTTTTGCAATTATTTTCACCCAGTCTGTGGCTTGTCTTCTCATTCTCTAAGCCTGTCTTTCACAGAGCAGAAATGTCTCGTTTCAATGAAGTCTGGCCTATCAGGTCTTTCCTTCTTGGATCATGTCTTTGACGTTGTATCGTAAAAGTTCTCACTTTTTCTCTTATATTATCTTCGAGAAGTTTTATAGTTTTATGTTTTACATATAGGTCTCTACAACCACTTCTTTTTTTTTTTTTTGAGACCGAGTCTCGCTCTGTCTCCAGGCGCCAGGCTGGAGTGCAGTGGCGCAATCTCGGCTCACTGCAACCTCCACCTCCTGGGTTCGAGCAACTCTCCTGCCTCAACCTCCTGAGTAGCTGGGATTACAGGCATGCGCCACCATGCCCAGCTAATTTTTGTATTTTTAGTAGAGACGGGGTTTCACCATGTTGGCCAGGCTGGTCTTGATCTCTTGACCTCGTATCCACCCGCCTCGGCCTCCCAAAGTGCTGGAATTACAGGCGTGAGCCACCGTGCCCGGCCCTAACCACTTTTTTTTTTTTTTAACCATCACTAACGAAGTATGGTATGTACATAATCTTCTTATCTACAAGTAGGGAACAAAACTTAATTATAATCCCCAAAATTCAAGCATGCCTTTAACATTAACACTACCCCACCCCACGAGTCATTTTAAAAAACCCAAGTAATACATCACACATAGGCTCTTTCCAATGTGTGATAAATAACTGCAATTAGGATTATTTTAGCCGGAATCAATGCTAACATCAGCAGCACATATTACAAGGTATCCACATGGATTAAAGTTTATGACCTGCATCTGCAGACATAGTAAAAATAATTCATCAGGCACGCACCTCAGCAAACCTCCCTTTCACAGATTATTTATCTAAGTACAGTGCTCAAACCAGAAGACTTAAAATTATTCAGTTAGGCTTACTACTAACTAAAACCTGTGTTGCCTCCTGACTTCACACTGTAACTAATCCACTGATAACTGATACCATAATACATTCCATTTGTTATACTGGATGATAAAATTAAAGTTATTGAAATGCTACTGTCTTTCTTTCATAAGCTGACTAAATTGTTGACAAAGGCAATTCAAAGTAATCAAATGCTTTAAATAGTCTTTTTGGCTCAGATCCAAAAAATATTTCTGACCACCACTCCTGAGCTAATTTCTGCCTTAATTTATTTAACCATGTTTTCTGTGGTCACTCTATACATTTATTATAAATCCATTACTTAACAAAGATAAGTATCTCATAAAGATCACTGTCAACATCTAGGAGTCAAATTTTGCCATTTTCCTTTGATGAGGCTTTAACTGCAATACTATATAATTTTAAATTAACAGTAGAAACAGTAATCCAGAATGAGAAATGCACCTGAACCTATGTAAGACTGTAATAAGGACATGCTAAGTTACCTAACTTATGGAATCACAATATGTGGTAATAGAAATAAATTAAATGAGGTTCATAATACTCTCTGACCTAGCCCACCAGTAATTTAGAAGCATCTGCTGCCCCTTCCTCTAACGTAAATGTGTTCAAAAACAAACCCAACTCATTATTACTGGAGAAAGTTTGCAAATCAAAACTACTATAATAAGGTTATACTTCACATTTACTACAATGGCTAAAATTAAAAAGACAGATAACAAGTAATGAGACTGTGTAGAAACTGGAACCCTTATACCCTTCTAGTGAGAATGTAAAGTGGTACAGCCATTTTACATATAGTCTAGCAGTTTCTCAAAAAGTTATACACAGAGTTACCTTACAATCCAGCAATTCCACTTGGGTATGTACCCAGAAGAAACAAAAACACACAAATATTTATACACAAATGTTCATAGCAGTATCCTTCATAATATAGCCAAAAAATGGAAATTATGTCCATCAACGAATAAATTCATGAACAAAATGTATGTGGAGTACTATTAAGCGATAAAAAGGAGTGAAGTATTGGTATGTTCTACATGGATGAAGCTTAAAACACTATGCTTAGTGAAAAGAAGTCATGAAAGACTACATTACATAATTCTAATCTACATAAAATGCCCTGAATAAGCAAATCTATAGAGACAGTAGAATAGTGGTTGTCTAGAGCTACTGGGAATGGAGATTTAGGGGTGATAATGTTAAAAGGGTATGGAGTTTCCGCAGTCATAAAAATGCTCCAAAATGGAGAGTAGTAATGACTGTATCATGTTGTGAGTATACTAAAAATCATCGAAATGTACACTCTAAATGGGTGACTGGTATGTCATATGAATTCTCTCTCAAAATCTCAATAAAGCTATTAAAAAATGCCCAACACCAAACGACACAAAACAAAACAGATTTTACTTGGGAAAGCAAAAGAACAAGGCCACTTAAAGAGAATTCAAACATTTGTTTCATGTGAAGCTTGTAAAACGTCATTTTATTACATCAGATTTTCATAAGTGTAAGATGATTACTATGTCATGAGAGAAGCAGGAAAAAAAGCCAACAACTTGGAAAAAAACCTACAATTTGGTCCTAGGTTCTCGACTTATAAAATGAAATTATGGCTCTCCAAGTCTGTTTTCCTCATTTTAATTAAAAAGGGAAAAGTGTGTGTGTGCACGTGCATGTGTGTACTCAAAGTGTGGGCACTCCTTCCAGGGGTGCATGTTATCTACATATACTTTACCCCAGTAATATCATCTCCTGTGATAATCTGATAACCTACAAATCTCTTAGTCACTGCTACCCAAAAAATGAATGAAGAAAATGCCAATGGTTAATTTTCAAGGTGTACAGTAGTCCTCCCTTATCCATGGTGGATATGTTCCAAGACTTCCAGTGGATGCATGAAATTTTAGATAGTACTGAACCCTGCATATACTGTTTTTTCCTATACATACATACCTAATAATAAAGTTTAACTTACAAATTAGGCATAGTAAGAGATTAACAACAATAGCTAATAATAAAACAGAACAATTATGACAATATCCCAGTACTTTGGGACCATTATTAACTGAAGGATACCTGAAGACAAGCACTGTGAGACCATGACAGTCAATCTGATAACTCAAGTTGCTACTTAAGGTTGACCTTAAGATGGGTAGTGGAGACAGCATGAATATGCTGGACAAAAGGTTTTACATCCCAAGCAGAATGGAGTGAGATTTCGTCATGCTTCTCAGAACAGTGCACATTTTAAAATTTATGAAGTGTTTGTTTCCGGAATTTTTCATTTAATATTTTTGGACCGTGGTTGACCATGGATACCTGAAGCCACAGAAAGTGAAATTGTGGATAGGGGTTGTACTTGTAACTGTCTCTTTCTGACTAGTAAGACTCTTCTGAAGAACAGTCATATACTTGGTAAATAGAAATAATCCTTTTAAAATCTTATACAGTTAATGTAACAAAATGAGATATTGTTTTCTAACTCCAAATATCTTGTCCAACAAGATATTTATCTACTGTTCATAGCAAAAGTAAGAGATCACTATTAAGATCTGTCCAAGACAGTGGTTTATCAAGTGATAACTTGTCTCACACACCTTGGGGGCTTTTCAAAGACCATCTGTACCAAAATGTAAGTAAGTTACAATATATTTATTTGACAATCCAAATTACATTTGCAAGACTCCACGTTATTTAAGCTCAATTGTTTTAAATACTGCTCCATATCTGAACAGGTTCATAAATACTATCTGGCACATAGTATATATTCAACACTGTAGTTCTCTATTCAGTCACTTTAAATTATGTAACATGTAAGAGACTTCTCAATCAAGATGGGTAAGTGGGTATAAATAATCACCTTCTCTCTCTGCTCCAAGCACATACCAATAACAGAAAAACTATTTAAAATAGGCATCCTCTCCAAACTGATCATGAAATTCATATGGAAACAATCCATACGTCCAAACTGATGATAAATAAAACCCACAGTGGAAAGCAGAGACTAAAGATAGGAGGTACTAGAGTACCAAGACCATATACAAAGGGGCAGAGGACAGGAATTTGACTTCTTGGAATAATATGGAGACAGACAACAGCCAAACTCTCTGGAAGTTACAAGTGGGCACCTGCCCATAAATCAAGTGCTGGTAAAATACAGTCAATTCAGAAAGAAATACACCTAGGAATAAAATATTTGCCCATGGCAGGGATATGTTTCAGAGAAATCTATGCAATCAAAAATTAGGCCCTGAGCATACCTACAGAACAGAACTCAATTTCCTCAGAAACAGGGTCCCCTACTTCCTAAATTTGTAAGATATAGTTCTGAGATGTGAATCCCAGATGCCAGGGTAAGGCAAAATTGCCCCACAGGGTGAAGCAATGACAGGATGAAAAAATACAAAATAAAACGAATGAATTTTCTCAAAACAAACAGCCAACAAATACAAAAGGGACTATAAAACATAAGGAAATCCAAAGCCATTAAAAAATAACAACAACAGACCAGGTACAGTGGCTCACACCTGTAATCCCAGCACTCTGGGAGGCTGAGTTGGGCAGATCACTTGAGGTCGGGTGTACGAGACCGGCCTGGCCAACATGGTGAAACCTGTCTCTACTAAAAATACAAAAATTAGCCAGGCATGGTGGCGTGCACCTATAACCCCAGCTACTGGAGAGAACTACAGGCTGAGGCATGAGAATCTGAACCTGAACGCTGGAGGCAGAGGTTGCAGTGAGCTGAGATGATACCACTGCACTCCAGCCTGGGCGACCGAGCAAAACTTTGTCTCAAAAATAATAACAACAACAAAGCACAAATACCCAATACAAAAGTTCCTTGTGGAAAAATTGCAAAATACAAACAATTTCCACCTCACAGAGACAATTCCATTATACATACCACTCTAGACTTATTAGTACATATAAACAAATACAAATATCATGACATCATTTAACAAAAATAGGATCATAGTGTATGTTCTACTTATGTATGTATGTATTTGTAAGACAAGGTCTCACTCTATCACCTAGTCTGTACCACAATGGCATGATCACAGCTCTCTGCAGCCTTGAACTCCTGGGTTCAAGCAATCCTCCCATTTCAGCCTCCCAAGTAGCTAAAACTACAGGCATGTACCACCACACCCAGTCAATTTTTATTTTTTTCATAGATGGGGGGGTATCACTTTGTGGTTCAGGTCGGTCTTGAACACCTGGCCTCAAGTAATCCTCCAACCTCGGCCTCCCAAAGTGCTAAGATTACAGGCATGAGCCACTGAATCTGGCCTTATGTACTGTTTAATAACTAACTTTTCTACACCATGAATATCCTACCAATAAATATTTTGTTGTTCTATTATATTGTTCTGAAAGACCAAAATTATAACTGATGCTTTATTGCTGAAAATTTTAACAGAGAATTGAAGCTAATTTTATTATGTAATAAATAGCACTGTGATTATGTTTTTCAGAAGTCTGTATAGATTTGTGAGTCACACAGGAGTATTTTATGAGCGACTCACACAGGAATATTTTATGAGTTACTATCATGTTTGGAATTGGCTTTAAATGACTCCAGGAAAAAAAAAGGAAGGAGTAAAAACAAATTAAAGATTGGTAAAATGCTGATAATTGTTGAAGCTGGATGATAGGGGTATATGGTTTATTATTTTCTCTATACTTGGTATGTTTGAAAGTGTCATATAAAAAATTCCAATATTCTTTAACTGAACTATAACTGGAAATGAGAAACTGAGTTTGCTATTGTAAGGCAATCAGGCAATTCCATTTTCATAGATGTTACAGAGCTGTATTATTTTTATCCTAAGCAACTTCCAGGGAACAAGTTATGAGATATAGTTAATTCCAACAGTTTACAATCACTGACAATGAAAATGTTGAAGATGACCCAAAATTAAAAATATATTTAGGCTATCTAATTAAAATTATCTTTCTCTTTCAAAAACAGGTTATATGCTGGGCATGGTGGCTCATGCCTGTAATCCCAGCACTTTGGGAGGCCGAGGCAGGTGGATCACGAGGAGGAGTTCAAGACCAACCTGACCAATATGCTAATACCCTGTCACTACCAAAAATACAAAAATTAGCCGGGCATGGTGGCATGAGCCTGTAGTCCCAGCTACTCGGGAGGGTGAGGCAGGAGAATTGTGTGAGCCCAGGAAGCAGAGGTTGCAGTGAGCCAAGATTGTACCACTACTCCAGCCTGGGTGACAGAGCAAGACTCCACCTCAAAAAAAAAGGTTATATTATTAAGTAAAATTCAAATAGGTTGAATATATAATAAGTAGTGAAAATATTTCAGGCTTATCAGGTTCTTACTTTGAAAAGCTATTAATTTTAGAATTCCCGTCCATAAAATCCTAAAGATTGGCTAAGATGAAAATCCAGAGTCTGATTCTTACAAATTTCAAGTCAAAGGAAGTTAAGTTTGTAGGTTTCACTCTGTATTCAAGAGCCCCTGTGTTACTCTAAAATGTGTAACAGACTGGGCGCAGGGGCTAACAACTATAATCCCAGCACTTTAGGAGACTGAGTTGGGTAGATCACTTGAGGTCAGGAGTTCAAGACCAGCCTGGCCAACATGGTGAAACCCTGTCTCTACTAAAAATACAAAAATTAGCCAGGCACGGTGGCATATGCCTATAATCCCAGCTACTTGGGAGGCTGAAGCACAAAAATTGCTTGAACCCAGGAGGCGGAGGTTGGTAGTGAGCCAAGATCACGCCACTGCACTCCAGCCTGGGTGACAAGAGCAAGACTCTGTTTCATAAATAAATAAATAAATAACAAAACATGTAACAATTTGCAACCACAAAACCAGATGACTGATAATATCGACATACGCCCTCAGAAAATGTGCTTTATACTTAAACACAATTTCTTATTATTTAATACATAAAATATCTTTCTATTCCTTCCACCTGGATTTCAATTCTTTTCACAAGAAATAAAGCTTTCACTCTAAAATATTCAAATAAAATTGTAACTAACCTTTATATATGCACTTGGGTAGATCTTATGAACAGCATCTCCAGGTGCACGCCCAGCTTCTCTGTCTAAGTAGTAACTCTGTACAAAGACTGCATGGTCGCTAAGGCACCTGACCCAAACATCGCCTTCGCCTTTACATTCCAACTGCACACCTTTGCCTATGTGCAACCTTAGGAAGAAAAAAGAAATTACAATTCATCTTGATAAGTATTTTAAATTAAATGTTAATTCAGACTATATAGCATGCTTAATATTGAAATATTAAAAATAAAGAATGTCATATAAAGCCAAAATATAGCTATTAACACTTTGGTATATTTCCTTTTTTCTTTTCCTGTTCATATCTAATAATGATGCATATAAATACAGTGCTTACTATGTGTCAGGAGCATGCAGTATGAATTCTCATTAAACCCTTATAACTCAATAAGTACTATTATTCTCATTTTTTTTAGATAAGGAACCTAAGGCATACTGTCTAAATTGATAGTCACTAGCCACATATGACTATTTAAATTAAATTAAAACTAATTAGAAATCTGATTAGTCAATTATGTCAGCTATAATTTAAGTACGCAATATATACATGTGGCTAGTGGCTACTGAACTGGACAGTGCAAATATAAATCATTTCCTTCATCACAGAAAATTCTATTAGCCAGAACTGGCTTAGAGACTAATTTGCCAAAGTCCCACAGCAAGTGAAAGAGCCAAGATTATGTGCTTAGGCACACACATCCTTAAAAAGCTGAGATCGTACTGTAGCTAAAATGGTATTTTCCTGTAATATTTCACTGTACACATTCCATTTCAGTATATAAACTTTTTCTTTTTTTTTTTTTGAAATTGAGTCTTGCTCTGTCATCCAGGTTGGGATGCAGTGGCACAATCTCAGCTCACTGAAATATCCGCCTCCCGGGCTGATGAAATTCTCCTGTCTCAGCCGGCTGAACAGCTGGGATTACAGGTGTGCACTAACACGTGTGGCTAATTTTTGTATTTTTAGTAGAGATGGGGTTTCACCATGTTGGCCAGGCTGGTCTCGAACTCCTGACCTCAAGTGATCTGCTCGACTCGGCCTCCCAAAGTGCGGGGATTATAGGCGTGAGCCACTGCGCCTGGTCTCATCATACAAAGTTATAAACATTTTAATGACTATATAAAAAATGAAAAATTTGTCTTAATCATTTCCCTTTTATTACCAATGTTTAACATTATAAGTAAAACTCTGAGAAACATGTTCTCATTTAATATTACTTCCTTTCAGTAAGTTGTAGAAATGTATGATCACAGAAAATTTTCAAACTGAATTCCAAAAGGTATATTTACTATTCAAAAACCTAACATAAAAAAGGCCATCTTCTATCATTATATGTTAAACAACACAAACATCTACAATTACGATGGCATGCTTACAAATTCTGAATTTTCAACATGATCTTTATTCCTTTATTTATATTTAAGAACACATATATGTAGGAAAACATAACTCTGAACAAAAGACAATGTACTATGCTCAATTTTTAAAGTAACTATCTAACTATACAATCAATACCTTGCTCTCTCAATGGCTTCTGTCCTGTGGACATTGGAGAGTTGACCCAAACAAAAGCGATCTCCTCCAGAAGGGTCCACGTATCCATCAACAGTAACAATAGGACAGCTTGAAGGAACCTTAAATGTCTCTCCTACCTGAACATCCATTTCAAAGTAAGCAATGGAACACCAATACTCAGGAGCTATAGGAAATAAATGGGAAAGAACATTCTCCCATGAGAGAAAGATAAAAGGCTTTCACTTGCACTCCACAAGACAAAGCTTTTTCTAAAAGAAAGGGTGAAGGGAGGAGAGAGGGAAATGTAATGCACCCAAAACAACTGGATTAAAATAATGTAATGCATTAAAAAGTAGGAATTTCTAAGTCTTCTATTTTCTAACTCAGTATCTAGCACTGTTCTAAAATGGTTGCTAAGGCACCCGACCCAAATATCACCTTCACCGTTTTGTTGTTGTTGTTTAAAATTTCTAATTACCACTTATCCTAAAGTTCTAAAAAGTTGTTTTTTAAAATCTGGAATTTGATTCTTACCTCAAAGGACCAGGTCAACTGAGAATTTAAAGAACATAAATCATCAGAAACTAAAATAAGTTATTTTACCATGATGTTTCATTTGACTACACATATTGTCTATGTAGTCTCAACTTTTATTTATTTATTTTTTTTTGAGAGGGAGTTTCACTCGTTAACCAGGCTGGAGTGCAATGGCGCGATCTCATCTCACTGCAACCTCCCCACCTCCTGGGTTCAAGCAATTCTTCTGCCTCAGCCTCCCGAGTAGCTGGGACTCAGGCGCGCACCACCATGCCCAGCGAGTTTTTGTATTTTTAGTAGAGATGGGGTTTCACCTTGTTGACCAGGATAGTCTTGATCTCTTGACCTCGTGATCCACCCACCTCGGCCTCCCAAAGTGCTGGTTTGAGTCACTGCGCCTGGCCTCAACTTTTATTTTTTAAAAACACATTGACCCTAAGATGTATTCCAGGGAACTGTCCTTGAATAACATCAATTCATGACATATTTTTATAGATTCCCTAATTGAGAGAAAGTGCATAAGCAGGTCAGCTATCCCATCCCTGAGTTAAGGTTAATTGTACTCTAATCACACAGTTGTTGTATGCAGATTCTCAACTTTCTCTTGAGTAGAAGATCATTTGTCCCATGTATGCCATAGCAAAAGATAGTTTTAGTGAAGTCAGGTCATGTTAACTACCACAATTTTAAGTTTGATGATGTATTTAGTGTATTTGAACAATATATAATTTTAAATAATCAAAAAAAAAAAGAGGTGCTACTTTGTTTGGCTTGCAGAGACAACTGATCAAGCATTTCCAATTTTTATTTGAATACAACAATTAATACATCAAGCCCAAAAACGTAAAAATTATTTGGCTTTCCTTTTTTAACTCACTTAAGAGGTATCTATAGAGCATCTAGGGACCTTTCTGGGCACTACACACACAGTAAGAAACAAAACAGCTACAGTCCCTGTTCTCACAGAGGTATGGGGCAGACAAGTAAACAAATAACTCAGCTAATGATGAACACTTATTTGGAGAAAATAAGACAGGGCATGAAACAGCAGATGATTGGGAAGAACACTTCAGACTGGATGGTAGGGGACGTCTTATCTGAAAAGATGAGATCTGAAAACCTTCCATCTCTGTGAAGACTCTGAACAGATTTCAGAGAGGAAGCAAAAGCAAAGACCCTAGGGTGGAAACGGGTTTGACATATTTAAAACATTTATCTGTTTCTCAATATACTATTTATGAACTTTAAACTAGAATTTGAAGCAATAAAACTTCCAACAATCTTACTTTCAACAAAGTTACTTAGAATGACAAGATCTTAAGGGAAAAAAAACCTAAAAGAAGCATGAATGATGCTTAACATTTTAAAAAAAAGAAAATAGGCTGGGCACAGTGGCTCATGCCTGTAATCTCAGCACTTTGGGAGGCCAAGGTGGGTGGATCACCTGAGGTCAGGAGTTTTCGAAACCAGTCTGAACAACACAGAGAAACCCCATCTCCACTAAAAATACAAAATTTGCTGGGCATGGTGGCAGGTTCCTGTAATCTCAGCTACTCTGGAAACCAAGGCAGGAAAATCACTTGAACCCAGGAGGCAGAGGTTGCAGTGAGCCAAGACTGTGCCACTACACTCCAGTCTGGGCAATAAGAGCGAAACTCCATCTCAAAAAAAAAAAAAAGAAAAGAACTTAAAAAAGCTATGTACCCTAATTGCTTTTCAAAATGCTGCCAAGCAATAAAGTACTTTCCAATGAAGAATTAATAAAACAGATCACAGGAAGACTGGATAATTCAAAAACTTAAAAACTCACATGTTTTGCCATGTCACTCTAAAGAATTTGTCACAAAGATATTTGTTTAAATATATTTTATTATGGTTAGAACATAAAAACCAGTGATATACTAAGTGTATCAGCCGGGCATGGTGGCTCAGGCCTGTAATCCCGGCACTTTGGGAGGCCAAAGTGGCTAGATCACATGAGCCCAGGAGTTCAAGACCAACCTGGGCAACATGGTGAAACCCTGTCTCTATGAAAAATAGAAAAATTGGCTGGGTGTAGTTGTGTCCATCTGTAGTCCCAGCTACACAGGAGGCTGAGATGGGAGGATCACCTAAGACTGGGAGGTCAGGGCTGCAGTGGGCCATAATGCCACTGCACTCCAGCCCAGGCCACAGAGCAAGACTCTGCCTCAAAAAAACTTTTTTAAATATATATTTTTATTTTTTAATATAAAAATATATCTCAAAAAATTTAAAATATATATGTAAAAATATATATTTTTTAAAAAATTTTTGACAGGGTCTTGCTATATGGCCTGGGCTGGAGTGCAGTGGCATTATGGCTCACTGCAGCCCTGACGTCCCAGACTCAGGTGATCCTACCATCTCAGCCTCCCGGGTAGCTGGGACTACAGATGGACACATCTTTAGTTTATATATAAACTAAAGTTTTTACTAAACTTTTTTTACTAAAAGAAAAGGGGAGAGAGATCCAAGATGGCTGATTGCTAACAGTTCGGGATTGTAGCTCCCAGTGAAAGCACAGAGAACGAGAGGACGCCACACTTTTAGACGAATTTTTGTCACTCATGGACCAGAAGATTCCCAGTGGAGGGGCCCCACAGGTCGCTAGCACGACTCTTATGGCTGGCGCAGTGGTTTTGCCAGCGCCTTAGCGCAGCAGCTCTTCGTGCAGAGTAAACGGGAGGAGATTCCCGGGCAGAAGAGTACCACCAGTCTTATCGCTGCTGTTTTGGCCGGCGCAGTGGGTTGCTCGGATTCCAGCGCTGGGAATCAATAAACTGGGCATCCACTCAGAAACCCAACTAGAAAGGTGGTAATTGTAAAGATGACAGATGGATAAATTTATAACAAAGGGAAGAAACCAGCCTAAAAAGGCTGAGAATACCCAAAATCAGAAGCCCTCTCCCTCTACAGGGGATTACAGTTCCTCATCAGCAACGGAACAAGCCCTGATGGAAAAGGACTGTGTCCCATTAACAGAAGTAGGCTTCAGAAGGTGGATGATAAGAAACTTCTGGGAGCTAAAAGAACTTGTTCTAACCCAATGTAAAGAAACTAAGAACTTTGAGAAAAGGTTTGACAAAATGCTAACAAGAATAGACAATATAGAGAGGAATATAAATGAACTAACAGAGTTGAAAAACACAACACAAAAACTTAGCAAAATATGCACAAGTTTGAATAGCCGAATTGATCAAGCAGAAGAAAGGATATCAGAGGTCAAAGACCTACTTAATGAAATAAACCGAGAAGACAAGAATAGAGAAAAAAGGATAAAAAGGAATGAGCAAAGTCTCCAAGAAATATGCGACTATGTGAAAAGACCAAATTTACGTTTGACAGGTGTACCTAAATACTACGAAGAGAGTGAATCCAAGCTGTAAAATACTCTTCAGGATATTATTCAGGAAAACTTTCCGAATCTAGCAAAGCAGCACAATATTCCACCCCAGGTAATACAGAGAACACCACAAAGATATTCCTCAAGAAGAGCAACTCCAAGGCACATAATCATTAGATTCACCAGGGTTGAAGCGAACGAGAAAATACTAAGGGCAGCCAGAGAGAAAGGTCAGGTTACCCACAAAGGGAAGCCTATCAGACTTACAGCAGATCTCTCAACAGAAAACCCTACAAGCCAGAAGAGTGGGGGCCGATATTCAATATCCTTAAAGAACAGAACTTTCAGCCCAGAATTTCATATCCTGCCAAATTAAGCTTCACAATTGAAGGAAAAATAAAATCTTTTCAGGCCGGCTTTACAAGAGCTTCTGAAAGAAGCATTATACATAGAAAGGAACAACCAGTATTAGCCTTTCTAAAAATATAGCAAAAAGTAAAGAGCATCAACATAAAGAAGAATTTACATCAACAAATGGATAAAATAGCCAGTTAACATCAAATGGCAGTGACCCTAAATTTAAGTTGACTAAATCCCCCAATCAAAAGATACAGCAAAACCTAACGATATGCTACATCCAGACCCATTTCACATCCAAAGATACACAAAGACTTAAAACAAAGGGATGGAGAAAGATTTACCAACCAAATGGAGAGCAAAAATAAATAAATAAATAAAAAGCAGGAGTTGCAGTTCTCACATCTGATAAAAGATTTCAAAGCAACAAAGATATAGTGATAAAAGGATCAATGCAACAATAAGAGCTAACGATCCTAACACCCAGATACCTAAGACTCATAAAGAGATTTAGACTCAACGAGACAGAAAATTAATAAGAATATCCAGGACTTGAACTCAGATCCGGAACAAGTAAACTCAATAAATATTTATAGAGCTCTCCATTTTAAATACACAAAATATACATTCTCCACCTTAAATACACAAAATATTGATCGGCCAGTATTAATACCCATTTTTAGAAACAAAGCTACATTCCCGTTTTCTCTCCCTCTTTTTCTTCCTCTTTCTTCCTCTCCTTCACTCCTTTTTTTTCTTTCTTTAAAAAAAAAAAAAAAGAAAGAAAAAAAGAGTTTTTACTATAGAAATTGTAATGTGAAGACATTACATTATGCTATGGACAAGAAGCTTCAGCAAACAACTGATAGGGATACTGGTTAAATCAAAACTACAGAGATCATCTAAGACAAGATAACAATTACCCAATGTTTTGGCAGCCCCCCCCCCCCCAAAAAAAAGAACAGTAACAGCACTTAAAAGTAGTCTCTACACAATCAGTCCAAATATTAAATTTTGTTATAAACAAATATTTATAACGCTAGGTTAAAAAAAAGATGAGCGCTGGGCGCAGTGGATCACACCTGTAATCCTAGCACTTTGGGAGGCTAAAGCAGGCAGATCACAAGGTCAAGCGATCCCACTATATTGCCCAGGCTGGTTTCAAACTCCTGGGCTCAAGTGATCCTCCTGCCTCAGCCTCCCAAAGTGCTGGGATTACAGACATGAGCCACCACACCAAGCTTGAAGAATTTAAAAAATAAATTTTTAAGTGATTTTATTTTTAATCTTTGTGGGTACATAGGAGGTGTATGTATTTATGGAGCACATGAGAAGTTTTGATACAGGCATATAATACATGACATGTCTTGGAACATAGGGTACATATCCCCTCAAGCATTTATCTTTTGTGTTATAATCTAATTATACTGTTATTTCAAAAAGGACAGTTAAATTACTGACTACAGTCACCCTGTTGTGCTCTAAAATACTAGACCTTATTCATTTTAACCAATTTTTGTACTATTAACCATCCACACCTTCCCAAACTCGCCACTATCTTTCCTAGCCTCTGGTAATACTGTCTCCATGGGTTCAATTGTTTTGATGTTTAGATCCCACAAATAAGAACGTGATGTTTGTCTTTCTCTGCCTGGCTTATTTCATTTAATATAATACCTCCACTTCCATTCATGTTGTCACAAGTGACTAAATCTCATTATTTTTTATGGCTGAATAATACTTCACTGTGTATAAGTTGAAAGAATTTTAAACATACCAGAATGGTACAGGAAGTTCCCCCATTGTACTCATTCCTCAGTTTCAGCCATTATCAACTAATGACCAATCTTATTTCACTCATGATCTTTTTTTTTTTGAGGCAGTGTCTTGCTCTTGTCGCCCGGGCTAGAGTGCAGTGGTGCAATCTTGGCTCACTGCAGCCTCTGCCTCCCAGCCTCCTGGCCTCCCGAGTAGCTGGGATTATAGGTGGCCACCACCACGCCTAGCTAATTTTTGTATTCATACTCTTACGTTCTTTCTTCATTCATATTGTTCTGAAGCAAATCCTATATAATAGTTTTATATGTAAGTATCTTAGTATATATTCCCAGTAAAGGTTTTCTAAAAACATAAACACAGTGTCCATAATGATTAACTTAAAGGGAAACATACAATTCTTGATAATTGTCCTGTTAATAATTTTCTTCATGTAAATAATGCTGTTATTATTTATGTTGGTTTTTTCTTCTAGATGTTTAAAAAAACAGAAGGGAGTATCTCTGTGTTTATAACTTTTCTCATATTTTAGTTTAAGAGATTTACAGAATTTCTAGATTGAAAGGCCACATTACATTGGCATCAGAGTATGAAAACTAGTTTTACTATGCTCACTAGCAGTAGATGTGATAGTTTAACAAACTTTTTGCTGATTTAAGAGGCAAATATTTGTTCTAGTTAGGAAAAAAGTGAGGCTAGTGGGGCAGAAGCATTCTTTTAACAATATATATTTATTATTATCTTCTTTAATGGATATTCCGTGTTTTATTGTATACATGTAAAAATGATTTTAAACATTTTTGTAGGTCAAGGGGTCTAGCCTTTTCATAAACACTTTGAGAAATGTAATATACAGAAAAGTACATAACACAAGTAAGTATAAAGTCTAATTTCACTAAAACTAATACTCATGCAACCACTACCCAGATTGAGAACTAAAACATTACAGCACCCGAGAAACCCTCCTACCCCACGAATTTTATCTCTGTCAAGACCTTCTCTTCCCTTCTCCCCAGAGGTAGCCACTGTCCTGCTTTAAATTGATTCACTTTTCTTGTTTTATTTTTAAATTTTAATTTAAATCTCAATATATATTTTTTAGATGGACTCTCGCTGCCACCCAAGCAGAGTGCAGTGGTGCAATTCAGCTCACTGCAACCTCCACCTCCAAGTTCAAACGATTCTCCTGTCTCAGCCTCCCAAATAGCTGGGATTATAGGCACCCACCACCACACCTAGCTAATTTTTGTATTTTTAGTAGAGATGGGGTTTCATCATGTTGTCCAGGCTGGTCTCAAACTCTTGGCCTCAAGTGATCTTGCCCCCTTGGCCTCCCAAAATGCTGGATTCCAGGCGTGAGCCACTGTGCCCAGCCATTTTTTGCTCTTTAAAGTGATGAATGTATTCCTAACAGTCTAGTTTAATAATCTGGCTTTACTTGTTTTTTAATTATATAAATGGAATTACTATATCAGAATCTTGATTCATGTGAATGAATATATTGTGATAAGAAGGAAAATCTACAGTCTGAAGAATGAGAACTTTTTTTGCTGGCAGCATCCTTGAGAGTCATTAGTGGCTCCTGGCAACTTAGGGATCTCAGTGTTTGTATTGCTTAGTCGGAGATAGTCTACAGGAGTGAGGGCAGTCACGGCTCTGAAGAGAGACCTACCCTAGATAGAATCATAGGTGGGGATAGGGGTGGAGCCATTTAGCTAGTCATTTGGACCTCTGTTTTTGATTCAGCAGTTGCCTTTGGCCTCTTAATAGACTTAATTCATTCTTTTCATAGCAGAACTGGTGTTTAGGCCCAACATCTCCTGGTGGTTAGAAAATAGCATTAACTAGTTGAGGTCATGCATTTATAGCAGTATGCATTGACATTAAAGCCTCTCTTTGATTAACTCATGTCATGATGAGTATCGTACTTATCTGAGAAGTGACCCTATAATTAATTAAAACCTGTGTTTGTGCATTTCAATCACTACTAAATCAATCTAAATATAGGGAATCAATTTTTAAATACACTTACCAGGATGATTGGAAATGGGAGGCTGGAATGCAAGCTCATTGTGAACAGGCCCTAAAGAAAAGACAAAAAAATTCCATTTTTATTTATTAAAAGTTGTCTAATGCTAAAGCTTTTGGTAAATCTTACTTAAATATAACTATTATAGGTTAAGAGTTGTTAAAAACAAGCTTATGCAACGTCTAAGAACTTAAAAGTTTAAATTACTTTACAATAAGCAAATCGTATTGAACTATTAATAATTTTGTGGCTATTTAATAACTAATATTTTAGTGCTACCTGCCACGTGCTATTACACAATTTATACATAATTTTACATCCAGTATTTAATACAGAATATAAATGAATTATTCATGTAATGTGCAATACAGTATAATTTATAGTGCAATGTATAATAAACTGTGAGATCTATCCTAAAAAGAAGTGCTTATGTTAATTAAGGATGTTATATAATGAAATTATAGCTAACATAATTACTATGTGTTAAGACACTGTGCTAAACACCTCACACAAATTATTACATTTACTTCTTACAAACACCCCTTGAGGTAGATACTACTAATATTACTCTTGAGGCTTAATGAGGTGAAATAACTTGTCAATGGTCACAGAACCAGTTAAAGGTCCAAACCCAACACCCTTAACCACTATAATGGCCCAGGGAGCCATTAAAAATTACATTCTCTTAGAAAATAAAAAAATAGTAACATAACTGAAAAGAAGCAAGATATATACAATACACATATAGTAGGAGCCCTCTGTCAATTTACATATACCTGTTTATATGACTGGAAGGAAAATGACAAAGTATTAGAAGTGGCTATTTTTGAGTAGCAGGATTCAGGGTAATTTTGCTTTTCTTATTTACCCTTTTCTACATTGTCTAAGTTTTCTTTGGTACTATTAATATTATAATGAGATTGATTTTACTAAGCCATATGAACAATGCTCCTATTCTATCTGAAACTAGAGGCTATCTGTATGGTACTCCTCCCAATCATGCTGGCACAGAGTTATTGATAGATTCAACATTATCCAAAGTACACTGAATACTATGCTGAGGGAAACCTTGAGAACTTAGTGCTCAAAGTGTTTCAATCCATTATGGGTGGATATACAAGACACACATGAGATCTAAGAACACATATACAAAGCAAACAAACAAATGAATGGAAATCAATGTGATGTTAATGAAACATTGGCAACAGAGAAATAAATTCATTCAGCAAACATTACTCCTCTAAAATAAAAAGGTATAACTATGAAAAATAATACTGTTCACAAAAAATACTGAAAAGCACTATTTAATGAAACAAAATCACAGGATGAATAAAAGATGTAAAACCATTTAAAAAAAAAAGAAAAAACAAAACAAAGCCCTACCAAAAAAAAGAGAAAAAAAAAGCCCTTACAACAAAAACAAGAGCTTACAGTAATGTCCGGGATGGGGCGGCATAGGCGGGTGGTGCTGAAGATGGCCGTTTTGGTGGTGAGGCAAATTAGGTGTGTATGGTGCAGTCCTACTTCCAGTCCAGGTGGTAGTGCTGTCTAAAAATTAAGGCCCACATGGGTTAATTTGCTTTTATAAAGGCTGCCTACTTTTTTCTCAACTATTTAAAAGATTTTTTTAAAGCATGTACATACTATGATGGTAAGTAGCTGGCTGACCAGTAAATCCATTCTGCTGCTGTCCTGGCTGAGGCCCTGATGCTATCTGCAACAGTCCTTCACTATGGCTGCCCCCCAGTATACTGGCAGGCTGACCTAGAGGAACAAGAAGACATTAACACGGTACATTCATAGATGTCATCTTATGATTTCATATACTAAATGAAGGACCAATTGTATCTGATAATGCCCACAACTATAAAGATGGGCAAAAAGTGTAACTCACCCACGGCCTATCAGGTAAAAAACCTGAAGTCATCTATAAAGGCAAATCCTAACTTGATGAAGCTCAAAATTATTCCATTTTAGGTCATTTTCTCGCTAATTTTAGTGGCTTACTTCTTCACAAACATATTTCAAATGCCAGCAAAACACCACTGTCTGGCCTATCATGTTAACTTCTTCAGAAGTAATCAGTTCATCCCTGGCCACTCCATCAGCTCTCTCTGGACCTTTCTGATTAGGACCCCAAAAATCCAGGCTCAAGAAAATGTTGAAAACTGAAAAGTTAATCATTATCAGCACTGGTATTGGTAATGAATGCTAGGGTTTGACAGAGAAAAGCCGAGCAGGAAATTATTTTAAATAGGATGTGATGGTGAAGATGAGGAAGTTAAAAGATCTAGCTCTCCTGTCCAATCGATATACCATTTACTGGTTAAAAACAAATAAAACAAACAACCATCAGTATACTTTGAAATTTTTTCAAGAGCTTTTATAAACCAAGAATCATTTCTTTTCAAGAATACCATTATACTAGATTTACAAGAAATTAGTTGCCCTCTATGTATGAAATATACCAAGAGAACCAAGACTCTCTTGGCTTCTATTCTATTCAAAAACGATTCTATGATTTTGCTTACTGTCCTACATTTTTAAGGCTTCTTTTTTAAAGTAAAAAAAACTTGATTTCTTAAAGTGGTAATTAAGTCAACTGTTTATCCCATTTGGAAAGCACTAAATTTATAATTATTTTTTCACTGGCATCACCTCATTCTTTTCTAAATGGGAATATAATCTGATGGAAGAAAGTAAACGTCACCACTGCTCAAAGTATCAAAGAAAAGAAATATTTTTCTCTTCTCTACACATCACATTTTCTTAAAGCTAAGAATTACAAAATCAAAAGCTAAAGAGAATATCTCAACACTTCCAAATTATTTATTTGTAAAGATGACATCTTAGCAACCTCCCTTCCTACTCATCCCCCAGATTCTGCAAGTTATCTTTAAAGGTTAATTACGGTTTTGTCCATGTTTTTAACAATTCTACATGCTACATGCTCTTAGCTAACTTACAAAAATTGTCACTAACTACACAAGATAAATTATTTTAATTTACAGGCATTTAGAAGGAAATTCTTAAAATATTCAGGTGTCAAATGAACATAAATTATAAAGTGACCTATTGTAGTTATCCATACTGAATACTTCCTTATACAATTCTAAGTATGTAAAATAAGGTTAAACAATTTAATACAACTAAATCAGCTCATGTAATACAGCCGTCCAAATCTTCTATTTTAGTTCAACTTCTTTTCTTTCATTTAATTTTATCAATACACTTTTTGAAATCTAAGTGAACATTTTGACACAAGTTCTAAAATTTACAGTATTTACAGTATTCAATTATTAAAATCTACCCGATAAATACCAGGGTAAAATTTGCTCCATTTCATTTATATTGCTTTCTCTAATCTTCGAATAGGACTCAACTTCAGGGAACAAAACAGTCAAAATAAAGTCACTTAAGTAAAAATTAACAAAGGCACAGAAATTCAGTGTCCAGATATTATCAACAGAAGTAGGTAGCTGTGCTCTAGCACTAATCTACATTCAAGTGGCTAAAATGTACTCTTTTATTTTCTATCACTATTCACTGTTTGACAACCATATTCCTAATTTGGTAAATAAAAAGTAGACAGGTAACAGAAGCACCAAGTGATTAAGGATCTGGGTAAGTGCTTAACCTACATGACCCATTTAGAATATGCTGCCCATACTGAGATTGTCATCTCTTATATAGCAAACCAAAAACATATTGCTTCAAAGTGGTATAATGAATGAAAGAGGTGTAATTTTGGTATACTTCACTTGAAAACTCACAATTACAGAAATCAGCCCCCATTTATTCTAAAGATCAAAATTTCTATGTTGAATCTAATCTGATACTAAAGCAAACAGAATAATGGTAACTATTCTATTTTGGTAGCAACTAACACAGTATTAGCCCAGAGCTGTCAAAAATCTGTTCTGATGTGGGTTTACGTGCAATTCCCTTAGCAACTGCATGCAGCTAACACCATACACATGCCAAGACAATGCTCTATGATTAATTGGGGGGGAGGGGGGAGCTACTTCATTTGCCAAACCACAAACTATCAAACCTTTGGTTACCGTGAAAATAACAGAACCAGATCATATAATCGGGCCCCCCAAAACCTGAACCTAGTAGCCCCTCTACCTCCTATGACATGGCAGAAAAGAAGGATCCTTCTGAAACAGACTTTTAAAAATATATATATACATATATTTTAAAAAGAGATAGAGAATTTAGCTTTATATCAAAATTGACTAAATTACTTAATGTCTATCTTGAGGGATATATAACAAATTTGTCAAGATCCCTTTGCACAAACAGAAAAATCAGAAAATTATAAAGTAATATTCTCCCAGATAAAGGAAAATAAGAATACTGGACTAAAAGAAAGGTTGCAATTCCATTAACACAGACCTTCATAAACATCTTGGATCAAAACTACTTGTTAACTATTTAAATATTTCTCCAAAATCTATCTGAGAGCTGAAGATGCTACTTCTACATGTAATAGTAAAGTACAAATTAGATCATTAATTTAAATCAATATAATCAAATCATTAATTTAAATCAATATTATAGTCAAACCCATTACTTAAATTCCAAGTGATTGTATACATCTATTTAATACCTGTTTACCTATGAAAGATACCACAGTTACTTTTAACAGTTACTTAATTGGCATTTCCCTCAAAGTGACTGGACAACTCAACTTGCTGACTACATCTGGTTCTAGAACTCACTTGTGGAAGCCACAGGAATGTTGGGAAAGTTGGCAGTGCTGGTAGCATTAGACTCAGATGGGGCTAACAGAGCTGGGGTGCTGTATGTCTCTGTTGATGCGCGATTACTTGGTGGATGCTGGATGGTTTGAATTGAATGTCCTTCAGTGGATAACGATGGCTGTCCCTCAAAATCATGAACATATTCATCCTTCACCATCATACTTGATGGAGCTACGTAGAAAATTAAACATATTTTAAATTTTTATAAGCTTCTATTCCCAGAAAAAAAATCTTATTAGCAATATAACAACACAACATCTAAAATCAATTACAGTGTAAATAACTAACTTTAATTCAGAATTTTTTCATATTATTTTAAAAGCATACTACTTTACCAGCAAAAGTCACTTATTTAGCAGTAATAGCATCAGATATATTTTATCAATCAATCTGACTCTCAAATTTGAAGCTAGTCTATGTTCCAACGGCCTCCAGCAACAATCCTAAAAGATACTCCTCAGTTTTTTGATAAACCTAGATGAATAATCACCTAAATACATAAGGCAAGCAAAAACCAAATGGCTGGAAAATGTGTATCCAGCTGAGAAAACCAATTATTCAGTCTAAATCGAGATTGGGTACTTAACTGTATCTTTTTGCTAATTTCACACTGTGGAGATATGACTGGGATCTGATAGATATCCAATTCCATGATCTAGAATTACTGTTAAGCAATATTTTAATACATTTTAAAAATGAAGTGTATTAAATGTCCCCTATAGATTTAGAACCAAGAGGTAAAATTCTAAATGAAAAGTCAAACTGAAATTTCCCTCTAGAAACCCAACCCAAATAAGAATATTTGATAAATACATGGTGTGAGAAAACTCAATAATCAATATCTTTCACCTATGTGCTTACACCTTTATAAGGAAAGCTAGATTCCAGCTGATACAACACCTTTCCATTAACAAACCAGGAAATATTTGCTCTGTTGTATGAAAAAAGAAACCAGAAACTGAATTGCATTAATAATGTTAATTCTCTGTCCAGAATCTTCCCATTTGTTTTTAGGTTATTGTTTTAAGGTTTCCATTTTATCTTTAGCAACCAATCATTTTTTGCTTCTGAACTAACACTACTCCAGAACTTAAGGAGCCACTGAACTAACAGTAGGTTCTCTTCACAAAGCAGTCAATTAGTAGACCACAAAAAGGCATTCCTTTTTTCATTAAGAACCAGCCTATCATTTCCCTTATCTTTCCCTATGTCAACCTTTGAAAACAAATCTACTACATGTAAATATCGGTTAAGTTACATGGATTTTTTTAATTAAATTGAGACATTTAACAGCAATAATAATCATCCATTGTGCAAGTTTCTTAAAAACCTCTTAAAAGTTCATGCATCAAAAGTCATGAAGATGATATTCTGAAGACCCATAAATCCCATTCCAAAGTTCCTCTTTATAAATTTAACAGAAACAAAAAGATTATCAAAAGGATGCTTAACAAATTATGTATAAATTAAAAAAACCAAACCCAATCACTCATCACTAACATTGGCCAAATTATAAAAAATAGTAAAAAGAAAAAAAATGTTTGGGGCATAAAATCAGTATATCTACATTTATTCAGCCTTGTATTATGACCTTCAACAAAGTTCAATGATTTTCTTCATATAAATCCTGCCATCTCTAATTACGTTCTGGACATTTTAGGGGTTTTTTGTTGTTGTAGTTGTTGTTATAATGACTGGGATCTTTTTACCGACCTACTGGCTTTGCTAGCTGATTTGAGGATACAGCTGGTCTACCTGATACTCACTGCTTCAGCTTTTCAGGTGACTCTTCAGCTTCATCAGCATCATAACATATTTAAATACCAACTGTATTTTGCTTTTAAATAGTTATGGCTCATAAATTTTTCTTGCCTTAAATATGGCAGGGAAACTTCCCAAATGTAGAAGTTTGAAACTTCTACTGGTGTACAGATCTCTTTAACCAGATATTCTATAATAACTTTTTTTTGGGTAAAACTGAAGGTATCAACAAGAATAGAAAGTCTGCAATGTATTTTTGCCAAGAGAAAAAAACACGTTACAAAACACTATTGTACACAACGGTCATATGCATGTTTAAAAAATCATATACTGTAAGTAAAAAAGCAAGGTCCAGAATACTATGCACAGTATACGTTTTGTGTAAGAAAGGAGGTATGTATTTTTTGCAGATAGAAACCCTGGAAGGAAACACCAGAAACTAATAAAAGTGATTACCTGAGGTAGGGGGGAATGGGGGCAGGGGTGGGAGCACTTCTTTTCACTGTATACCTTTTTATAGTATTTTGATTTATGGACCATGTATTGCCTATTCAAAAAAATAAAATTAAAAAAACATATAGTATATATTTTTTATAGTCCAGAAAAAGACACCAAATTGTTAAATATTTCCCTTTATGGGCTAGCATTCAACAAATTCATTCATTGAAAAGATATTTCTTGAGCACCTATGTGCCAGGTACTGTTCTAGTACTTGGGATAGACCCATAAACAAAACAAATATCCCTGCTGCCATGGAGTTTGCAGTCTTTTGTAGTATTTTTCCATTGCTTCAATATCTAATAGCAAGCAAACATTACTCCAAGCTTCTCCTAGCTGTCTATTCTTGGGCAAGTTCCCTCACCTCTCCAAATAGCAGTCCCTTCATCTGTTAAAGTATGAATAATCCCACCTCCCATGTAGAAGTATCATGAGAATGATAACACAATACTCAGAAATCATTTAGCTCAATCTGACCTGACACAAAATGAGTACTCAGTACATGTTAGTTATGGTTATTTCACCATATTCTTAGAGTAATCATACATATATATAGTAATCACAAACTGTTCTAAGAGGGCTGGGCACGGTGGCACATGCCTGTAATTCCAGCAGCTTGGGAGGCCAAGGCGGGTGGATCTCCTGAGGTCAATAGTTCAAGACCAGCCTGGACAACATGGTGAAACCCCAACTCTACTAAAACTACAAAAAAAAATTTTAGCTGGGTGTGGTGGTGAGCACCTGTAATCCCAGCTACTCGGGAAGCTGAGGCAGGAGAATCGCTTGAACCCAGGAGGTGGAAGTTGCAGAGAGCTAAGATTGTGCCACTGCATTCCAACCTGGGCAACAAGAGCGAAACTCTGTCTCAAAAAAAAAAAAGTTCTAAGAAGGTCAAATAATATACTCTCTATAGGTGACAAAGAAGCTGAAACCACTGGGCCCACTCTACATCTGTATTCTTTATCATCACCAGCAGGCAGGATATAGCACCTGTCTGATGGTATTATCACCCTCTTACTTACTTTTTTTCTCCTCCACTAGACTATAAGCTCACTTAAGTAGACAAGACATACCTTATTATCTTAGCATCCCTGGAACCTAGTACCAAGCAATACATGCTCATTAAATATTTGTTAAAATGAATACACAGGTCAACTTGGTCATAGAAAGTTTCATGAAAGATAAAAGGCAGGCTGTAAATGATTACCACAAGACTTTAACTCAAAAATGAAGGAAATGTCCCATTTTCTTAACTTTTTAGTTAACTGGTCTTGTATTATTCCTTTGTTAAAATCTAGAAGGAGCTGTGAGAAATACCCCTTGTTTTCTGAGGAAATAAGGCACTGAAGACACCCTTTACAAAACCACCACTAGGGGGCTCTACAAGGCTGAATACAGTTCTATAGTCATTAAAGAAAGGCTATCGACCCATGCAATCCCATTGATAACAATGCATCAATAATTTCAGGATAGGGGAGGTGTGTGATAAGCATTCAGAATTTGAACCCCCTCACAAACAGCCCCATAGAGAGATTCAGATAGACATATCATTGCAGTCTCCCAATCTTTAATACCTACTGAGCCAAATGTTTTAATTCTCCAAAACCATGGATGGAAAATGAAGATATGAAGTGTGTTTACTTTAAAAAACACTTTAAAAGATATGAAGGGTATTTACTTAAAAAAAAAAAAAAAAGAAGAAGAAGTTATATGATTTTCAATGTCTGCATGGCAAAGAGGCAGAGCTTTAACCAATCTTAAAGCAACCCTTCCCAGACCACCACAACAGCTCCTAATAATAAATGCACACTTCTCAGAAACCTACTAATCACTAACAAGCACCACAAGGCACTAAGTCTTCCTTCCTCCATTAGTGATATGGGAGAAAGATGGAAAATAAAAACAAGAAGACTTGCAAACTCTTCCTAAATTTTGGTTAACGTCACCTAGTATTTCTGACCCATCTCTAAAATTCTGCAAACAAAAAAGGTCCCAAGTTACTACTCATTTCCCTCCAGAACAATAGCACACCTTTCTAATATGACATTGGGTCCTTTTTTTTGAGATGGAGTTGTGCTATTGTTGCCCAGGCAATGGCATGATCTCAGCTCACTGCAACCTCCAACTCCCGGGTTCAAGTGATTCACTTGCCTCAGTCTCCTGAGTAGGTGGGATTACAGGCACCCACCTGACTAATTTTTTATATTTTTAGTAGAGACAGCGTTTCACCATGTTGGCCACGCTGGTTTTGAACTCCTGACCTCACATGATCCACCAGCCTCAGCCTCCCAAAGTTCTGGGATTACAGACATGAACCACTGCACCTGGCTCACAGTGGTTCTTTATAAGAGTTTCTCTGCAAATTAATTAGTTCTGACAGAAATTTTAGTAAGTTCTAAGTAACAGACCTAAAGATTTAATAAAACTCCATTCTCAAATATTACACTAAAAAACACCTACACCCCCACTGGTGTTTCATTTTCTCACCTTAAAACACTTTTTCAGTAAGGTAAGCTGTGATGGGCATATGCTTTAAAGTAGCCTTGATTTATTTACTCAAAATGTAACAAGACTGAAAAAACACAAACGAGTGCAATTTTAAACCATTCTCAACATTATATAAAAATAAATTAGACTGAAATGAAGAAACATTAGAATACTGGTATTTTTACTGGATATGTTATATGTGATTCCAAATTACCAAACATTCTGGGAACTTAACATCCATTTAAACTGACTCTGTGAGATTTTCTTCAAAAACAGTGCTTAACTTGAAAAGCAGCCTTTGTATTTGTTTTTGGTTCATTCCCTTATCATATTTTTTACAGTACTTTAACTCATAAATTGCAGTTCAAATACAAAGAGCAAATAGCCAATTTAAATCCAGTTTTAAACACCGACACGCCCCCTCAATCTAAATTTCCAAAGCAGTAAGTTATTTTCTTGTTAAGGTTACTGCCGCCCACACAAACTAATTAATTCTAGGTCAACAAAAAAACAGAGAGGATAAAACACAGGAAAGAGAATGTGATAAGAAACAGATTACCTACCATTACTCTGCAGTGTTAATCCTGAGAGATCTTAATTGTTTAAAGAGGGGAAAAAAATAAAACATTAATCATTACAATGAAAATATTTTCCATTTAAAAACAGAGAATGTAAATTTAAGCCAGAGATTACAAAAGTTCATGAACCATTTCAATTCAGAAGTAGCATAAACGCTAACTAACAATACATACACTAAGTATTCAAACTTATAATGCTTTCCATCTTATTTCTCAAAAACAATGTTTTACATGGGCAAAATGTCAACGATAATACTTGGTTTTAGTAGTCAAAATGTTTGTTCCTGAGTTCAAATTTAAATATTTATATTAAAAATATCTCATTCTTTAACCTTATTTAAAATCCTGGGCTATCTTCGAAATTTATAATTTAACTCACAAAAATTAAAGCATTACTGACATCATTTTTCCTTTATGTTTCTAAGGATAAAAGCAAAAGTCTACTTACCAATTCCAGGTGATACAACTCGTTCATAGTGATATGGATTCACACAGACACTATCACATTTTAAGTCAAACGCATACTGACAATATTTAACATGTTTTAGTTCATTTTTGTGAAGATCAGGCCACCTCCAGAGACGGGCATAGATCACATGAGGAAATCCTTTCCGGCCAGCCACCTAGAAAAATAAACAACCATTTATTCGTGTGTCACATTATGCAAGACACTTTACATATATTCTGATTTAAACCTCACAATCCTACCAAGTCAGTATTACAATCCCCATTTCATAAACGAGAACACTAAAATTCAAAATAACTAACTTGGCCATGTCATACTTCAGACCTAGAATTTAAACGCTGGTATAATTTCAAGGCCTGTGCTCAGGTTTTAAAAATGCAAAAAGTGGGTGGGCCTGGTCGCTCACACCTGTACTTTGGGAGGCCAAGGGAGGATCTCTTGAACCTAGGAATTCAAGACCAACCTGGACAACATGGCAAGACCTTGTTTCCACAAAAAATAAAAAATCAACCAGACATGGTGGTGTGTGCCTGTAGTCGTAGCTACTCAGGAGGCTAAAGCAGGAGAACTGAATAAGCCCAGTAGGTCAAGGCTGTAGTGAGCCATGTTCGCACCACTGCATGGGCAAGACTGAGACCATGTCTCAAAGAAAGAAAATAAAATAAACAAATAAATATGCAAAAAGACTGTGTTGTAGAAACTAAAGTCTAGAAATAAAACTTTAAAATCTAAGACATAAAATTTCTATGAGATTTACTTGAGCAAGGGAGACGTATTACAAAGTTCTACATGAAAAACGTGACCAATGAAACATTTGATATCAGTGAAACATACCAGATTTCTAAATTATAAAAGGACTAAGTATAATCCACCAGTTGTTTAAATGTACATACAATATCAAAAAAGAAAACATGGCCGGGCACAGTGGCTTGCACCTGTAATCCCAGCACTTTGGGAGGCCAAGGTGGGTGGAACACCTGAGGTTAGGAGTTTGAGACCAGCCTGACCAACATAGTGAAATCCCATCTCTACTAAAAATACAAAAATTAGCTGGGCATGGTGGCACTCACCTGTAGTTCCAGCTAGTTAGGAGGCTGAGGCAGAAGGACTGCTTGAACCTGGGAGGCGGAGGCTGCAGTGAGCCAAGACTGCACCACTGCATCCCAGCCTGGGTGACAGAGTAAGACTCTGCCTCGGAAAAAGAAAGAAAAAGAAAACAACAGACTACAAAAATGAATACCAAAGGGCTAACGGAAGTTCCTGCAAAATGTGGGTTTTCTTCTTTTTATTTTCCAAATTTTCTCCACTGAACATTTTTCTGAGTCAGAACATAAAAAACTTTAAAATTTTATCTTTTGCATATTCTTCCACATATTCCCATAATGCATATTTGTACTGGATGACAGTATCTGAAGAGATGAAGCATGCATTAAATTACCCTATAGAAGCTTGAAAGGAAATTTAGCAAGTTTTTTAATCTGCCACCATAGAGGGTATAGAAAAATTCTTATAAGACTAACCTGAAGTCTCCCATCCAATGTTCTCTGTATGGTAACACATTTACTAGGATGAGCTCCATTTGTAGTTATGGCTGTTATTAAAGAATCCAATTCATCTTTTTTTTCCTTCAGCTTCTTTACCAAACTTTCAATTGCTCTTTTTGCAAATGTTTCACTCTCTCCACCTTGTCTATGGCACATCAAACTATGCACAATGCTCAGACAGGCATCATTACTAGTTGGTGTATTCGTAATAGACATATTGTCCATTTGTTCAAGTTTTTCCTTTTAAATCAAATGTCTCCAATTTCCAGAACAATTTTGATCTTTTGGAAGCAGTATAAAACAACAGGTAACGTTGCAAGTAAAACTGTTGCACATGTATTCAAGATAACCTAAAAAAGAAAAAAAAAGACACACATCAGAACATATTTCACAAAGTAGATTTAGATATACTTGGAAAAAGATGAAATTGTTCTGGTTAAGTCAGAGATTCAACGCACATAATTAAAATTTGATGCTCAGAGTTGAACATTACTTAAAATTCTTATAAAATGTTAACCATCAAAAATAATTTTTAAAAATAAAATTAATCAAAATGTCACTGTTTTTGACATTCCAAAAATATTAAAATTAGGTCTCCTCATTATAATAGTGAGACGCTCAATTGAGTCTTGCTGACTGTACTGGTCACCCTAAAGGGAAATCTTACCAGGACTTTTTTTAAAGGATTACTTATGAGGATTAGCACTTTAAAATAGTCTTGATTAACAATCAGCTAAACCTAAAAGTCTATTACTAATATTTATGAAAAATTACCATCGCCTGGTATGAAATGCTACCTAGCAGTTAACACTGACCTTTGTTAAAAGAGACCAATAAAAAAAGGATCTCTTTTATTCTACAAGACATTTCTCCAAAGATAATGGCCAATAAGCACATGAAAGCTCAACATTAGTCATTATAAAAATGAAAACCAAAACCACAAGTAGCTCTACCACTTCATACCTACTGAGATGGGTAAATCAAAGAGACAATAATAAGTATTGAAGAAGCGAGAAATTGGACCCTCATTCACTGCTGCTGGTATTACAAATGGCACAGGTACTTTGGAAAACAGGCTGGTATTAACACAAAATGTTAAACACAGTTACGATATGACCCAGCAATTCCCCTCTTCACAATTCTACTTGAGAAAAATGAAAACCTATGTCCACACAAACCTGTACACGAATGTTCACTGCAACACTGTTCATAATAGATACAACTCAAATGTCCATCAACTGATGAATGTACAAATAAAATTCCACACAATGAAATATTATTCAACCATAAAAAATAAAAGTACTAATACATGTTACAACATGGATAAACCTCAAAAACACATGCTAAGTGAAAGAAGTCAGTCACAAAGGTCACACATTATAAAATCCCATTTATATGAAATATACAAAATAGGCAAATTCACAGAGATAGAAAGTAAATCAGTGGTTGCCAGGGCCTGGCAGGAAGGGGTATGAGAAATGACTTCTAAAGAGTATGATGTTTCTTTGTTATAATGAAAAAGTCCTAAAAATTGATAATGCTGATGTCTGCACAACTGACTATAGTAAAAACTACTGAAATGTACACTTTGAAATAGTGAATTTTATGGTATGGGAATTATATCTCAATACAGCTGTTTTTTAAAGAGATCACTAAATTCCTCAAAAGATTTGTAAAAGCAACAGGGTAAATTACTTTCAAAAAAATAAAATAAAATAAATGAAGATTAATAAAGAATCCATTCAACAAGTAGAAAACTAAACTAACTTATCTGATCCCAAGACTCCACACAGAATAGGAAAAGGCCATTAGCCTAAGAGCAAAGAAAATGAAGCAAGACTGAAGCCTGTACTTTATGTGCTAGGTTGTATTTTATTTGTTCACTGAAGTTGCATTCCAGATTTATTTTGTTTTCATTTTCTTTTGCTGTATAATTGAATCCTTAAACCCTCCCACAAGATTAATAAAACTGATCATTCTACCAAAATCTCTTCCTCTTCTGAAGACCTTTATTGTTAAAGTATCAATTACACTCAATTACCCAGTCTCGGAAAGCTTAGCAAAAAAGAGATCTTTGATCTGCCTCTTTCTTTCACTATCCCTACATTCATCCCCTCACAGTTAGAAGATTCTTTACCTCAGTCATTTCTATTTCTCCTTCCATTCTCCCTGCCACTGTTGTAGTTTTGAGCCTCTTCAGAATATACATCAATCACTTGATATTTAAGACTTGCTTCTCCCTGTTGTTATCCTTTTACACAAATGTTTGTCTCAACTCATAAACCCCATGCAGAGAAGCAGTTTTTCATATGCCTTATATATAGCACTTGCCCACACTCAATACAGATAAGCTGAAGGTATACTTTCCGAATAACCAAGGTTAACCTACATGGAAGATTTTGGAATCAGAGATCTGGATTAGAATTCCAGCTTTCACAGTAATAAGAAAATGAAGTTACTCTGAATCTGGATTAAAAGGAGGGTCTTCTAGTTCAAAGGAAAAATTAAATGTAACGTGTCTGACACACAGTGTTCAGTAAAAAAGCTACGGTCTAAATATTAAAATGTTTAATTGTGGCCACAGTGGCTCACACCTGTAATTCCAGCACTTTGGGAGGCTGAGGCAGGTGGATCGCTTGAGCCCAGGAGTTTGAGACCAGACTGGGCAAACACGGCAAAACACCATCTTTACTCAAAATAAAAAAATTAACCAGGTGTGGTGGTGCATGCCTGTTGTCCTAGCTACTCAGGGAGCTGAAGCTGGAAGATCACCTGAGCCTTGGGAGGTCGAGGCCGTGGTGAGCCATGATTGTGCCACTGCACTCCAGCCTGGGCGACAGTGAGACCCTATCTCAAAAAAAAAAAAAGTAATAGTTTTATCAGGAGATTTTTCCTAAAATACATTACGCATTTTTCTGTATCTTCTCCTATTAAAATCTGTCTAAGAAAATGTAGGAGATTAGCCAGGCATGATAGTGTGGGCTTGCCGTCCCAGCTCCTCAAGAGGCTGAGGCAGAAGGATTGCTTGAGTCAGGAATTCAAGGCTGCTGTGAGTTACGACTGCACCCCAGCCTGGGCAATAGAGTGAGACTCGTAGAAAGAAAAGGAATCAGGAAAGAGGGAAAAAGAAAGATGTGTTGAATTACACATCTGATAACTCCCTGCATGGGAGATTTTGGAGTCAGAGATCTGGATTAGAATTCCAGCTTTCACAGTAGTCAGTTATCTGATTACATATCTGTCCCACATTGTTGCCACAAATTAGATATCCAAGAAAACAGCAAAAACACTCTCATTTTAGAAATTCCCAGAACCATGCACAGTTCCTGACATATACCAGGCAAGTGTTTGTGGACTGACTACACAGCTTTTTATTCTGTGGAATTATCTTTAAACAAATTAGAAGAGTGCAGATGCTTTTGAAGTCATTTTCTGATATATTCCAAAAGATGTGTCTCAACCTACAATGCAATTAAACTGTTTAAGTGTAACTATTTCACCGCAGCCTCACCATGTCACCATTTCTAAAATTTATGCTATTCTGCAGCCTTAACAGTATCTCAAAGTTTATTTTAAAGCCAAGTTGTTTTGAATACAAATGACAACGACCTTGCTTTCTTAAACAAATATAGCTTTCTCATCTCTCTCTTTATTGTATTCCTATGAGCACAGTGCGTGACGCATAATTAAAAGTTCTGCACATAAAATATAACACTAGCAGGAATATACAGATGTATTCCTACATTAAATGGTTCTAGATTATGGAAGTATGGTAGGCAAGGGCATAATAGCAATATAAATAAAATTATATATTCTGATTAAAGGTCTAGCAACATAACTGAATGTTAACATCTCTTTCAATTCTGTCATCTATAAAATAGGAACGCCTGCCCTGCCAACTTTACAGATTTACTGTTGTAATTAGATGCAACTATGTACATAAAAGTACTTTGGGAACCATAAATTAACCAATTCAACAAACAATGTATGTACATAGCACTACAGATACAAAAACAGGTGACGCATAGTAAGAAAGTGGGTCTGGACTCTCTCAGACCAACATCCCATTTTTTTCTAACAAATAATTTATATCACCACCTTAGCTGTACTGAAACAAAATTCTAAACTACTTACATATATTTTGAAAATTTAACAATGCCCTAACCATAACAAAAAGAAGGAAAGTCTTAATATATAATGTGTATTTGCATCTATAAATACTCAGGCATGCCAACTAAGTTAGAATGTATAATAAAGAAGTTAGATGCTTGCACTTATATATAGAATCATCATAAATATGACAGCTACAAATTCAGACCTTCCAAGACAAATGTGTTATACTGGCAACTCAAATAGCATACTGGCACTGCAGTCAGTAACATGGATTTTCCCAAATGGTGAACTCTTAAAAAACTTCAATTAAGAAAATGAATTAATGAGAGGCTGAGGCAGGAGGACTGCTTGAGCCGGGAGACCGAGGCTGCAGTAAGCTACAACTGAGCCACTGCACTGCAGCCCGAGTGACAGAGTAAGATTTGGTTTCAAAAAATCCAAAAAAAAACAAAGGCTGGGTACAGCGGCTCATGCCTGTAATTCCAGCACTTTGGGAGGCTGACATGGTTGGATCACTTAAGCTTAGGACCAGCCTGGCAACAAAGTGAGACCCCCCCCTCCACAAAACAATACAAAGAATTAGTTGGGCATCATGGTGCATGCTTATAGTTCCAGCTTCTCAGGAGGCTGAGGTGGGAGGATGGCTGGAGCCTGGAAGGCAGAGGTTGCAATGAGCTAAGATCATGCCACTGCACTTTAGCCTGGGCAACAGAGCCCAAGGAAAGGGAGGGAGAGAGAAGGGAGGGAGGGAGGGAAAGAGGACGGAGGGAGGAAGGGAGGGAGGGAGGGAGTCAGGCAGTGAAGAAAAAAAATAAATTAAGAGAAATTTAATTCCTGGCAAAGCGAATATTATAGAGTTAGGTTCTGGGCTAATTATGTTTTCCTCCTACATGAATTTCTGGGGCATTTGAAAGTCTTGTGGGATGCAAGATAATTACTCAGTCTTTCACACTGCAGGATGGCATCCCTGGCCCCCAATCCACCAAACCCATCCACAAATTTCTACAACATCCCTTAAAGAACAGTACGTACTCCACTGAGAACTACTAATCTGGAAGACCCAAACATATTATTACATAAGTAACAGATGCTAAAAGCAGCAGGTATAAAGTGATTTGGGACTATAAATGAGGGAGCATGGAAAGTTCATACGTAACTTAAGTCTTGGCAGAATGTTCAGTCAGGGTTGGCAAGTCTATGCTGCAGTAACAACCAACCCCCAAAAGATCAGTAGCTT